TCGATAATCTCAACCCGTGTGTTTCCGTCTGCTCTCAGTTGGTCCGTCATTCTGTTTACTGCTTGCGTTAATCCCATTTTATTGGTGTACATATGTTCGCGCACATTGTCGTGTAACCGCTCCCCCTCTGCTTATCTAACCGTCTTAAGGAAAATCTAACTTTGCGTAATTTGACACTAACCATTTCCTCCACAGTTTGCGGTAAGGTCCAACGTGAGGTAAAGAAAAGTTATTTTCATTTCAAAAGATATGATTGTAAACAGTAGCAAAATTTCGGAAGGGGCTTAACTCTAATTAGTACAAGATCAGCCTTTGAGCATTATTTGTATTTTTAACTTAAATTTTCCGAAATATGTTTTTTACTTTATAATTAGCAAATTCGTAAATTTGAAGTTAGCCATGAACTTGTCACGTTTTTAGAACGAATCGTCGTAAACTTTGCTCGCTAAATACTAAGCTAGTGCCAATCAACGGAGATAACGACATTGTTCCTTGCATCTTAACCCGTCCGAAATTGTGGAAAAAAAAAATATTATTAATCGAAACTATAACCAATTGTAGCCATTGCAAATATGCAAAAGCTTGGCAAACGATAACGTCATAGTATGGCACATGTTCATAGTGCAGGCTTCCTCATACTTGGCGTACAATTTTCAGTGAATGTTCTCATTTCATTTCTTTGCCAATCTCAAATGCCGATAGCGAAATATCTTATTTGATAATGTTTTTGTTGAAACTGGCTTTCTCTACTTATGCATGCGTTCGATTAATTTCAAAAAACAGAAGTCAGGTGTTGTAAGCATACGGTAACACACTTCTACTTTCACGTTGCTAAACTGGTGTGCTACACTCATATATCCACAACTTCTATATACACAGAATGAACTTAACTCTCAGTAAATATCCGTAAACATTGATTTCGCCACAACCAGGTTTTTTCACTCATACGCTTAAGCAAAAAACTCAACTTACGAAGTGTGTAGACTCAATTGCGATGTAAGCAATCTCATAAGCGTATTCTTATACTAGTCAATACACAGATTATAACACATGCATAGAACAGTACGCGTACAAGCTTCTAACAGGCGCGAGCATAGTTGTAAGAACAATGTAACGGCGCAGCGATCATTGTAAGGGATAAAAGAACAATACTAGATCGTTAGATAAGATATGCCGTTAGTTATTTATCATTTATATATATATATAAATTTTGTTTTCTTGTTTTTTTGTTAGTCTAACTGGGTAAAGGAAAAATCCAGCTAACGGCTTTCTATGAAACAAAAGAAATTGGGCAAGCGCAAAAAGAAGTGGTTCGAATTGAAAAATTGAAAAATTAAACAAAATCTATCACAAAAAATTAAAGAAAAAAAATTGCGAAATAAAAATTTAAAGACGCACCTATACTTATATGTATATCAAATGAAATTTGTTAAGTTTGTCTCAAATAACGAATCATACTTGTTACCTTTCTATCGCTTTGTCTTTTCGTACTTTGTAACGTCCGCGTATATACGAGTTTCCGGGGTTTTCGGCGGTCGGCTTTGTTCCTTCTCTTCACAAGAAGAGTAGCGTTATTCATAATAGTGGAATTACGTTAATTAAGATCTGTTTTCATAATTCTCCGCTCAAATAGCAGCATTATTTAGAGAGAGAATTATGAAAAGAGAACAAAGTCCGAAGTCCGTATGTATAGAATTGGCAATAAAATTAGCTTCAAGAGGAGAAAGAAAAAGGAGATCAACGAGAGTAGTCAAAGTGTTCAGAGTGTTGCTTATTGTATAATTGACAAAATAATTATCAAAAATTAAAATTAACTTTTATTATATTAGCTTAAAATGTAAATAAAGTTTTATAAGTTAGTTGAGTGAACGAATGTACTGCGAATAAAATGATTTATATTATTTTTAAATTTTAAACAGCACAAAGTTCGATCACCACAAAGAAAAGTTTGTTGACATTAAAACTCAGCCCCAAGTGAAAACACATTGTTGCGAATCAAAAGTTAAGCCTTAGTAAGAACGTGTTATTAAAACCTGGAAATCAACACTCAAATTCAACTAAACAAACGCCTTACCATAAATAGTAATTAGAAACTTAGTTCTACTAAGAATGTATTACTAAAAATTTCTTATGTTAAAACTTAAACCTAATAAAAGCACATTGTAACTAAAATCAGTGATTTTCTTAAAACTGGGATACATATATAAGAAGAAGAATCCGTTAATATTGGTGTCAATAAAGTGGCTTCCTCCGAAAGCAAACATATGAAAGGGTTATAAAATGCAAGGAACCACAAGATTGCGCCAATGGCAATGGGAAGCTATACGGAATATAGGAATGAGATGGGGGACCACAACAAATAGTAATTATTAGTTTTAAGAAGTGGTAATAAAAAAAAAGGAGAAAAAATGACAAACATCATGAACTAAATATACAATAGGTTACGCGATGATGAAGTGTGCGCGTAGAAATGTAGCCATAGACAATGACACGTACAGCGATGGCGATGGCATCTATAAAAGCGCGATGCGCAACGCGCTCGACTTGTGTTTTCGGCAGCCAAGTGTCAAGTTCCTAATTGATAAAATAAATAAATAGTTTTTGACTTTCCGGTTATGGGACGGTTTACCTAATTTAGCCACTGCGCCTGATAGTTTTGCTTGACTTTAGGGATAGGGACTTGGTACCTTCGCTTAGCCGCTTACATCGGGCGCATGACTTTTTTGACGGTTAGGCATAATAAAATTGACTGAAGAGGCTTTTAGGGACTGATAACTGCCCCTAACGGTCGTAAAACGTTGGCTGGCGTAATACAATTTTTTTGCAAAAGCGCGGAACCCGAAAAAATTAACTTTAGTAAAGCAACATCCGGCAGAAATTAAGTGATAATATTCGGATCGCGGGTCACTACGTTGCTGTGCTGTTTTTTTTGTACTTAGTGGATGAAGTTATAACCGTAATTGTTAATCAGTATTTCCGGAAAATAATAATAAATAAATAATTATAAACGAAAAACGTGAAGATCCAAGAATTTTTATTTTATAAATTTCTCAGAACTGGACCTTCTGAACAGCTCTCAGTAGTACCCCGGGCAAGAAGACCCCCTACAACTAAGTTCCAAATTCGGTAAGATTGAGTCTTTTGTCAAATTACTATCATGAGTCAATTTTCACCATGAAATATTATGATCTCGACCTTGTTCCCATATACAGATTCAGTTTTCGTAGAATCGGTTATATGACAGGGGTTTCATAAAATTGCCCTTGCACAGCTAAATTCTTCATACCAATTTCCAAGGTATTTGAGGGAAGCGGTCGCAAAACTGGGCTGATGCGAAGTTTGTTCTCGGACCAAAAGGCGGAGAGAGCTCGTGTACCAAACTTCACCAAAATATTTCAAAAATTGTGGCCTGTAAAATAAAACTGAAAAATATATGGACGCGCATCAGACAGACAGACAAGCTTAGATCGATTCAGTAAGTAATTCTAAATCGAACGGTATAATAAAATCTCGGTCTATCTCAAGTCCTTCTGAATGTTACTTACGTACCCATGAACTTCATATACCCGGTATTACAGTTGGTGTAGAGTAAAAAGACGGAGATAACGATGTTGACTAAGAAACCTACCTATTTTTCGATCGATGTGGGAAAATTTAACATGTATCCAACAAATAATTTTAATCGGCTGCTGCAACCTCGAGTACGCGCAATAAATTTAGGTATTCTTAGGGATTTAACAAATTAATCCATACTTCCAAAAAAGAACGTTAAGTAGTAAGTGGCATTTGGAAACGCAGTCAGTATACCTGAAATGAAATTGTGACTATATTAAACATATTTTAAGCCGATCTGTAGTTATACCCACAGAGAATGTAAAATGAGTATAAACAGACACTTCCCCTACATAAAGCCGTATGCATATTCTTCGTCCAGGTGTTAAACTGAGAAGTTATCCTAGACAGGCTTGGATCCAATGAAACATATATCTGCTTTTCAGGGTGGGAACTTAACTTTTTCATTTTTTATAGGGATCTGTAAGAATTGATAAATCGTATAGTATAACAAAACGAAGAACACTCTTTTCAGTTTTCATAAACCGGGGAATCATGCGGCTGATCTTGATCCAATCTATATTAAGTCTTCTAATCGGTTAAATAGTAGCCGAGACCTTAAGGGCTTTAAGTCACCTTTACTTACTTTTACATTTTTCTTTCTTGGTAGTGAAGTTAATTAGAAATGGTTAGTTTAAAAATTCGTGACTCATTCTAACACAATAACTAAAATTTCTTAAACACTTTAGGCATAGTTCCCTCCGGACAAAGGCCCAAAAGCAACCAAAGACCTTCTAACAACAGCGTTAAGGATGTGACTATTATCAGTCCTACGGTAATATTTGATGATAAAGCAGAATTAATCGATAAGCTGACTACAGTGTGTGCGCGCGTAGGCATTAAACTGAGTTATGGAAGGCCAGAGTTATTTGAAGCGGCAGCAGAAACTCGGCAGTGAGTAGAAGAGGACGCAGAGAACCAGAAAAATTAAACGGGCAGTTAGAAATGGGCGTCACAGAGTCACGATCAGAAATCAATCAAGACAAAGTTAATCGGTTTGGTGCTTTATTGCTGGAACATCAAAATAATTTATGCGCGGAAAGATGTTTCATACATTTGCCCGATAATTTAACGGGATTTTTGGATTTAGAAAAAGCTCATAACGATCGTTGCTTAGACATCCTCAACCAACTCAAACGAATGCAAGCCTTCGAGTGAAGAATGATAAGCAAAAAACGCAAAGGAAAAATAAAGACGATCTATATTAAAATTAAAATTTATTTATCTCCTTACTTTTTATCCATCTTGATTTTTGGTTTGGTTCAAACTTATCTCAGCTTTATTTTTCACAAATTCTATCGTAAAAGCTAGATCTTAAAAAAAAAATAGTAAAAATTAGATCTTATTGCCATAAATAAGATAAAGAATAAGACCGTATGGTGCAAACATTCTGTGAGGCCGCGTTTATATTTTTAGGTCTGCGGGATAAATTTAATCGAGTTTTTCGGACTATAATTAACGAAAAATAAGCCTCTCCTTGGCAAAAAAGTACAACATTTTGCTTTATGACGAAGATCGGCGAAAAATTATATTGGTAAAGTGTTATTTAATAGTTGGCCTTGCCGACTATAACGCTTTAGCTTAATTTTGTTAATTTACTTTGTTAAACAACTTCTTAAACTTTTTGTAAAAGTTCTTGCGCTTAAGCTAGCTGAGGCTTCATGCCTTTTCAAAACGTAAGAATAAATCGCCTCTGGCTTTTAACATGAAAGATTTTTCATCAAATTTTAATTGAGCCACGGTTTTGGAGCACTCTTCAACACGACATATCTTCAAAATGTGAGCCAAGCCTAGTTTAAGCTGCAACAAGCCCAAGCGGCTGCCTATGCAACCATGGGGGCCCACGCCGAAGGGTAAATAAGAAGAAGGAAGCACAGAGCAAATGTTTTTAGATGAAAATCGTTCCGGATTAAAAAAATCGGGTTGAGGCCAGTACTAAAAATAAAAAGGATAAGAAGACGTTGTAGATATAATATGTAACGAATGTGTTTTGAAAGTTTTTTGTGAAAATTGGTTACCTTCTCGTCCCTGTGTAAGCCCAAGATAGAAACGTAAACAGGCATGCCTTTGGGTACATAAACTGATCCATGTTTTGTTGTAAAATTAAAGCCTTTATTTCTTTGCAAAGGGGTACATTCTCTATTGATGAATGCAGCTGAGGGATACATACGTAAGCCTTCGCAAACAACTTGATGAAGGTAGCTTAATTGTTGTAGCTGGTCAAAGGAAAGCGCGGGCTTTTGTTTAAAGGCTTCATTGATTTCTTGACGCAAACGTTGCTGTATTTCGGGCTGCTTAGCTAATTCATACAATGTTAAGGCGAGAACAGAAGAAGATGTTTCAAAACCTGCCAATAAAAATATCGCAGCTTGGGCCGTTATAAAATCTGGATGGTTTGCAAACGGATAACCGGTTCTTTCTAATTCCAACAGATTGCCTAGCAAATCTTGATTTTCTGATGCCTGGAATCCACGCCGTTGCTTGCGAATTGCGGTTACGAATTCTTTTATAAATTTCGTATAAGATTGAGGAAACACTCGAATTCGTAATATATCCGTCAAGTGAGGTAGAAAGAATGTTACCATAAATGCTAAGGTTTTATAGAAACTCACCTTCAAAAGTTTTAGGGTTTGTTTACGCACTTCAGAGTGACCTTTTTTTAATCCTCCAGCATGTACACCAAAATGCACTAAGGAAGTCAGATCTGTGGTGAATAAAGAACACAATTCTTTTACTTCAATTATGCCCTCATTCGCGGGAGAGATTATTTTTAAAAGATGCTTTTCCAAATCCTCGGCTATCTGCAACATTAAAGGGTATTTGCGCTCGCGTAATTGACCACTGGTAAATACTTTGCACAGCTGCAAACGGCTCGCACGCCAAGCAGGATACTTAGCTAGAGCTAATGCTAAAGAACCCGATCTGTCATTTCGACCAGCCGCCTCATAACGATTCGCAAACGAATGGCTATTTTTAATGAATAATGACTGAATCAGTTCCGGTTCTCTTACCAACAGAGCTGGTTTGTTTAATATGTAAATACCACCCACAGCTGCTTGCCTGAGGGTACGGTGCCTATATAGCGCCAAAAATTGTTCGCCAAACGATATCTTTAAGAAGAGTAAGTCTTTTAGGTTACCCAACAACGGTAAAGGATGGATGAAAGGCAAATTTCTGCTTCGCCAATATTTTGATAAATAAAGGTGATGAATAAAGATCAATGTTAAAACAAGCAGCAAAACACATAGCACAAGCGTAATGAAGAGCTGAATACTTATCATGATGTAAAAACGACTGTAAACAAAGCGTTTGTTTAAAAATATTCTCAATTGTATATAATGTGATTGAAGATAGCAAACGGTCATTAGGGTTAAGTTTTGAATTTGCTAAAGGTTTATATAACATCAAAAGTTTCCACAGTTTTACTAATAAGTTTTTCGTGTTGAGAGAATGTGGTTCGAAATAACTTTGGCTTTGCTGTTGCTACTAGTAGTTCTTTTATATGTTTACCTAACGTATCATTATCGGTATTGGCTGCGTCATGGTGTCGCCTACGTCAAACCCAGTCCTATACTCGGTAATTTAGGATGTTTACTGCGCATGCAATGCACTTCTGCTCATATGATACAAGCGATCTATAACTACCCTGAGGCCGGAGATCGTCCTTTCGTTGGTATTTATCTTTTTCATCGTCCGGCTTTGCTGCTACGCGATCCTGGACTGATAAAACGCATTCTAAGTAAGGATTTTCCAAAATTTTCTAATCGGTTTTCGAACTCAGATTATTTTGGTGACCCTCTTGGATCTTTGAATTTATTCTTTCTAAAAAATCCTTACTGGAAGGAAATACGTCTGAAGCTGACTCCTTTCTTTTCAACTGGGAAATTGAAACAAATGTTTGCTCTAATCGAAGAAGTGGGACTTAATCTTAATGAATATCTCTTGAAAATGCCTTTAAACGGCGATAATAGTTTCCAACTGGAGCTTAAGGAACTTTGTGCATTGTACACCACGGATGTTATTGCAACTGTAGCTTTCGGTGTACAAGCGAATTCTTTTAAATATCCGAATGGAGAATTTCGTCGTAACGGTCGTGAAATATTTCGTTTTAGCACTAGGCGTGCCTTAAATTTTAGTGTTGTTTTTTTCTTGCCACATTTAGTCCCGTATTTGGGCATAAAAGTCGTGTCACCGAAGCAAACGGAATTTTTACGGTCTGCAATGAATCGGGTGCTGGAAGAGCGGGAGAAATCAGGAATAAAGCGTCACGATTTAATCGATATTCTGATAGAATTCAAAAATCAAACTACAACCCAACCAAGACAAGATGGTTTAAGATTTGAAGGTGATCTATTAGTCGCTCAGGCGGCTATATTTTTTACAGCTGGATTTGAGTCAACCTCGGCAACAATGTCTTTTGCTTTATACGAATTGGCAAAACACTCCGAAATGCAAGAGAGATTACGCAAAGAAGTACGCGATGCTCTTAGCGAAAGCCGCGGAAGGATCACACAACAGATCGTTGAGAACTTGGAATATATGCAAATGATTATAGACGAAACATTGAGACTTTACCCTCCGTTACCTTTCTTAGATCGCGAATGCTCTTTGCCTAAAGGCCAGAGTTACTCGTTAGAGCCGTTCCATTCGTTTTCAATACCTGCAGGCATGCCCGTTTATACACCTATCTACGCTTTACATATGGATCCGAAGGTAAGAAATAAAATAAAGCCATAGGTTCCAATATTTCTTTAAAAATCACTTTGGTTTTTGTATCCTGCCATATAGTATTTCCCGCAACCTCACGAATTTCAGCCGGAACGTTTTTCGCCCGAGCGTAAAAAATTGATAACTCCCTATACGTATATGCCTTTCGGATTGGGTCCTCACGCCTGCATTGGTGAACGTTTTGCTATGCTACAATCTAAGGTTGGTTTATTAAATTTCTTACGCAATCATCGAGTGACATTGGCAGATAAAAGTGTAAGAAGTATTAAATTAGATCCAAAGGCTTTAATTTTACAATCCCAAGGTGGTATACATTTAAATGTTATACGAGACCCTTTAAAGTATTAAACGAGGAGAGTAGTTTTTAATCACTTTAATGCAGATAAACACTAGGATTGATATGCGGACCATGTTTAAAATTTCTCTAAAAACCGCGCATTTCTGAACAGTGTGTTTACATACTTTCTATATTTACATATAAGGCACACTTTTAATTAAGAATTAAATGTTATCCGAGATCCTTTGAATTATTGAACGAGGAAAGATATTGCTAACCACCTTGATGCAAATACACTGTGGCACTGACATGTGAACTATGTTTACAATTTCTCTAAAAACGGCATTCATGAGAAATTTCTCAACAGTATGTTTAGAAACTCCCTATAATTAGAAATAACGCGTGCTTCAAATTATAAATTCAAAGTCCACTCAAAAATTTCAACTGTGAATATGCCTTTTTTTCATGCAATCAAGAAAAACATGCAATACTTGTAGCGTTTGTGAAACATCAGGGCATTACAAGTGTGCATTGTAGTGAAATTATAAGCTAATTGTTACTTAAGTTTAGTAGAAATAATGCTTGATTTATTCGTGTGTTGTGCCAGGTCGAAATTAGTTGAATGCTTTCTTCCCATATGGCCGTATATTTTATTCATATCAAAAATTACTCTCCTTAACAACGTCCACCATTAAATATCCTACGCCACTTCGTTTAATGCAACTATTCATATAACGACTTTTCAAAATAAGGCGTTGTATGACAAGTGGTTCAAAAAAAAAGCGCTCTACCTTGGTCTAAAACATGTCGATCTACCAAATTTCATCAAATTATCTGAAAATTTACGAATTGCAAGTTCAACAAATCAAAACAAAACAAACTAGGCAAATGGACAGGCAAGCCAAAATCGGGCAAAGTTACATCGGTCTGAATCCGCCTGAGTAGCCGAAGGCGAGCAATCTCGATTAGCAAGTCAATGGTCGTGGGTTCGAATCTCAAGTGCGGTAGAGTTTTTAATAAAAATCCGATAGCCTTAGATGCTAGTGCTTTTATGAGTTTAGTCTTAGAGTTTATTTCTCTGGCGAAATTAATAATAATAATAATAATAATAATAATAATATATCGGTCTGAGTCCCTATCTCAAATCCGTCTGGGAGTTGCATATATCCGCACTAAATTAATGTATCCTTGTAACGCAAAACATATAGATTCGGCGTCTCCCATTGCAAACCATGGGCAGAAAGGAAGCCTTAGGAAGGGCTCAGGACTTATGATCTCCCCGTTCGGAAAGAAGGTATTTCTTCTAGATGTCCGTGGGGTGACCGTAGGATAAACATTTAAAACCCTCCATATTTCTCGAATTAGCTAGCTCAGCAATGACACGTGGTACTTATGAAGAGCTCTAAAAATAATAAAGTCAATAGTTCAATAGTTAGACGACTTACAGACATTTTGTTACTATACATTTTCTGTTTTTTTTTTCCAAAAATATTTTTTACATTACTCATGGACTTGTCCCGCACTTTCTTGCATTTTTGCGTTGTTTCCTAATTCAACGACATTTTCTCGATTTTTATACGCGCCAGCGAAGAATGTGCATATACTCATTTTATCATAATGTTTGCTACAACCAAAAGGACGCTTCAGAATGGATTTCTGAATTGGTTAAGCCATGTCTGCCCATCTCCCTATTTGTTGGCGTGGTTTGTTCTTTCGGTATTCTCCTGGTCGCAAAAAGTCAGATATCGACTTCAAATTTGGCAGAAACATTGGAAGCCTTTGCACATAGGTTGGTATTGGAAATAATAGAGCACAAGCGCACGATGAAGCGTAAACCGAACGCAACTCCGTTTTTCTAAACAAAACTTTGTAGATTTCTCTTCATTACTCACAAATTATAAAAGATAGACATTTTTCACATTTATTTTACACACTACCATTTATGTGGCAAAAATGAAATATCGTCCATGCCTGCACAAAGTTACGAATGATGGAATTTTCTTGTTTTAATTTTTTTGAGGTTTTATGCTTACTAATGCTAAGCTAAACAAGACAGAACGTTCAAAATTATTTTGTACATTCCACAAATTATCCGACTAAAAGCGCGTTAACTCTGAAGTAAATGTGGCGGACACCACGACCTGGCGGATTAGTTTTTTCTTAATAACACCAACGATATGGGTATCAAATAAAAGGACTTGAAAAGTTGAACATGACAAGGTAAGTTGGTTAATTCTAATTTAATTATGGTGGACGTCACGATGTGGTAGATTACTTTTTCGTAACAATACCTTTTAATGAAATAACAGGTGGAAGATAAAGTAAAAGCATGGGGCTCCAACGGTGGTCCGTTCGTGGTGGCAACCAGGATTCGGCCTTAGCCGAATGTTGTTGTATTTGTTTTTGTGTACAACTTATGTTCAAATTTTTTTGCCCTCGAGTTTTACTAACATATAATTTTTGCTTTTTCACCTTTGCCATCTTTTCTTGAACGGAGTTGCTACCATCCGGAATCTATCTCGGAAGTTTGAAGATTGCCTTCAGATTAAATCATTCAAGGCTAAAAATTGACTGCGACCTGCCAACATATACGTCCACAAAATATTAGAAACTGGAGCAACTTCAACAAATAACCTGAAAATTTGTTTTCGATCTAATGAAGATATTTCCAAAATATGCCGGCACCACACCATCCCCGTGTTCGATTACGAAGTCGTTCAGCAGCGTGCCTAGAGCACTTCGGATTGGCTCACTTGGCTCTGTCTCCATAAGATTATTCATATTCATTTTCCCAGATATTTGTATGATCTGTATGATGATTTGTATGATTCGGTTCATTAGCTTCGAACGCACAATAAATCTGATACTGCCAGATTACAAATTTCTAAGATCTTCAAAACTGCTTTTGTTACCGCAGTGAAAATATTGAATTCTTTGCCGCTTGACATAAAGGCAGTTATTAAATCCCATAGATTTGCAATTGAGATTCGAACTTTCTATTACTGATGAGATAGTGAGTGATCTTTACTTTTTTTTCTATTTTTGTTTAGCAATTTATTTCTTTTATGTTAAAATATTGATTTAAAAAAATATGTTATGCTATAATTACAATAAATTGGTTTAATACCGCAAATACACGCACACAAGTTTAACAGTAAGATTATCTAATATTTTAGTTTCGTATAACTATTCAGTGTACTGGACGGCAAGGGGTATTTAGTATGTAATAAGAACTCTCTTTTGTAACTTATTATTAACTCTAATATTAATTAATTCAATTAAATGAAAGATGTTTATCACCGATAAAATCTAATGTTTATACACTAATTGCGATCTAGAGTTTGTGTCAACTCAATTTTCTTTATGAATATTTGCAAGTAGATAGCCGCACGTAATCGTTTGACTACAATTTTATGTTTGTTCATAAATGCATTCAAACGGGTAGTTGATATTGGTGTACTAATACACTACCGAAATAAAAATAATCCAACTTACGGCTTTAAGGCCTGCATTGACACGCCCAAAAAAGGACTTTAAACAGCAAAGATCAAAAGGAAAAATGTTACAATGTTGTCTTCGTCTAAGTACAGTAAAATTGCAATTTCAAGAGTTTACCCCAATGCCGGAATTCTTATTATTTTTCTCCTTTTTCTATTATAGTTGAAATTAAGAGTTCACACAAATCAACTTAAAATTACGTCGACAATTAGCCCAAATCTAAGTAATTAACACTAAACCTACCGACATTCATGTATTCCTACCATGAGCGGTCAACTGACCGCTTCAAAAAAACATATGTATCTTAGTAAAGTAGATAGTAAACAAAATATTTTTCTGATGCTACAATAAAAACCCGTTCCCCGCTTTTCAATGTTGTATGTTTTATTTACTTTTACAAATTTTGTTTGTTTTATTGACTTTACAATATCTTATTTGACAAGATCTCCGTTCAGTGGAAACAGTATTTGCATTTATTATTGTTTTTGATGAGCATTCTTTGTTTACCTGTTTCTCTTTCGGTCCCAAGTTACTCTGCCAATTGAAATAAAAACTCATGCCTCGATATTTCCTCACCCGTCCTTTCTTTATACAAAATCCAAGCATTTATCCCGGCTAAATCTAAGATATTGAAAAATTTTCTGGCCATTTGATCGGCTACATCTACACCCAATTTTGTACTATTGTAAAACCTAATTGTCTCTCGTATACGGGCGTCATTTTTTTCAATTTTAACGGATGAATGCATTGAACTTACTATCCTTTGCCTGTCTCGCTAATTTTGGTAGCTCTCTTTTATTTCTCCGGATAGTTCCAACAAGCGCAGTTCTTTTTGCTAGAAGTTTACTCGCTAGTGACGCGCTTGTAAAAAAATTGCCAACTGCTATATTTCTGCCATGGCCCGTATATGGTTCTGCTAAATTCAAAGTTACAAACTCTTCAAGTGGGATTGATGATTCTCTCCCTTCATCTTTTCCCAAATGTGGAAAGCCGTTTACTATATATTTATTACTTACATCGGAAGCTAACCAGAATTTTATGCCAAATTTGTCCCGTTTGTAAATCTACAACGTGCTTTTGCAGGAAACAATTGTTCATCTATAGCAAGATATGCTCCTGGTTTATAACCAGGCTTTGACTGTTTTCGATAAATTTATACCAAACTTGAGAAATCAATGCGAACTTATCGTTTCGTAAGCGTTTGCTTCGTTGATTTTTGTTGTCAAATCGAATAAATCTCATGATTCCTACGAAGTCATTTCGACTCATAGTTGTCGAGAAAAATGACGGACCCCATTTCGTGTTCCATAAATGTGATAAATTAATGTTTTTAGCCTCATATGCGCCGCGTGCATATAGAAGTCCAATAAATGCATATAATTTTGCAATAGATAAATTCCATTTCGTTTTCAACACTCGAAATGCCTCTGATTCCGTATATTCTCTTACGTGTAAGACACATTGATTAGATTGTAGGTTGTGTATAATTACATTGTAGACGCGTAAAACAATTTCGAGAATGCGATTATCGAAGAATATAGTCGTAAATAACATAAATGTTTCAAGCGGTCAAATGACCGTTCGTGGTAGACTAGACATGGTATAATTTGTTTTCGGAAAATAAACAATAAAAAAGTTGTAAATATTGAAAAATAGGTTGTATCTATATTTTAGGAAAAATCAATAAGCTAAATGATGATATGGTAACGTTGTATGCGAGAAATTTTAAACGAAATTTCAAAAACGGTCTTTCGACCGCGCATGGTAGTTTTAGTGCTAATGCAAGCTCGACACGTTCGCTCGGCCAGTGTAGTGTATTAAGTACTCCAATCAATTGTGTAGATTAACATAGAGATGTGCATAGAGATCGCCAGCCCACCAGGGCCCTACGCTATTTGTGGCAAGAATACATTAAGTTTTTTATGGTATACGCAAAACCCGAAAGAGCTTAAACTAGGTCCAAGTTTCTGTTCCCCTCCCCTCCATCATAATGTGACCCATAAACTTGTTGAGATAAGATTGGACTAGATAGTCTTGTGCATTTTGTACCCTTCGTATAAGAAAGATGATGTGACAAAAACGCTTAGTTTTGGATATTCGGTGACAAACGTTTATATTATATAATCTTTTAAGTCATTTTTATTCATTTAATTTATTGAACTATTTTTTAAACTTTTATAAAACCTTTGCTCAATTCAGACTAATTAATCCTAATGGAGTAATATGGAAGATTTATCGACAAATTTTAATTCGGTCACCGTTTGAAGGACTCTCTTAATTGCCAATATAATTTGCACCTAGTTCAGCCTATAAGGACTCAAGCTAAAGAATTAATAAGCAACAGCAAGCCTAGTGTTTCGATGAAAATCGTTCTGGATAAAAAGATAGTGAAAAAATACAACAAAAAGTTATAGGTAGTTGTACTCAGGATCCGCCGAGTGGCCGAATAGGCAAAGAGTCTCCACTAGCAACTCAAATTTCAAGTGCGGTAGAGTTTCTAATAAAGCCGATAGCCTTAGATGCTAATGCTTTACAACTTTAAACTTACAATTTATTCTCTGATTTAATTGCATTTTCTCAAGCTTTTAAGTGAGAATTAATTAACTAACTTTCCGTTCTTGTGACAGCCGTAAACCAGAATGCCTTTGGAAATATAGATTGCTCTGTGTTTCGTTGTAAAAATAAAAAGTTTACAATTAGACGAAGGGATACGTTCTTGTTCGATGAATACATCTGGGGGATGCATGCGTAAATTTTTACGTCGCACGTCATGAAGACTAGGTATTAACTGGTAAAGCTAGTCAAAGTTGATGTAGGAGTTTTGTTTGCTTTCGTTTGTTTAGTTCTCGAACTGACCACTTCTTATTGAATATTTTTAATGAATGACAAATGAATCAGTTCTTGTTGTCTTAATAAAAATGCATTTATTTAACATATAGATACCGAGTGCCATGTACGGAGTAATGGCAGAATACTTATGTAATATAACATCAGCGACTGCTAACTAAAACACTCCTGTACCAAGAGTACATCTTTTAAATTGTACAACAACAAAATAACAAATAAAACTCAAAATCAACATCAATTGACCATAGCATCAATGCAATGGAGAGTTTAATAGATAACAAGACGCGAGAACGACTGCGCATAAAGCTCTGGTCTTTCAAAAATATCTCAAACCGTCAATAATATAATTAAAGATAGCAAATGGTCATTAGGGTCAAATTTTGAAATAACCGAATCTTTATATAAGACCCAAAATTTGCCTAAAACTTTAGTAATAAATTCTTTGTTTTAAAAGAATGTGGTTCGCAATAACCGTAGGATTGGTGTTGCAGTTATTAGTGCTTCTATATGTTTACCTAACGTATCGTTATCGGTATTGGTTGCGTCATGGTGTCCTCGACGTCAAACCTAATCCTATACTCGGTAATTTAGGATGTTTACTGCGCATGCAATGTACTTCTGCTCATATGATACAAGCGATCTACAACTATCCCGAAGCTGGAGATCGTCCTTTCGTTGGTATTTATCTTTTTCATCGTCCGGCTTTACTGCTACGCGATCCCGAACTGATAAAACGCATTCTAAGTAGGGATTTTCCAAAATTTTCTAATCGGTTCTCAAACTCAGATTATTTTGGTGACCCTCTTGCCTCTCGGAATTTATTCTTTCTGAAAAATCCTTATTGGAAAGAAATACGTTTGAAGCTGACTCCTTTCTTTACAAGTGGAAAACTGAAACAAATGTGTTCGCTAATCGAAGAAGTGGGACTTAATCTCAATGAATATCTCTTGAAAATGCCTTTAAACGGCGATAAGATTTTCCAACTGGAGCTTAAGGAACTTTGCTCTTTATATACCACAGACGTTATTGCAACTGTAGCTTTCGGTATACAAGCGAATTCTTTTAAATATCCGAATGGAGAATTTCGTCATAACGGTCGTGAAATATTTCGTTTTAGCACTAGACGAGCTTTGAACTTAGGTGTTGTCTTCTTCTTGCCGTATTTGGTTCCGTATTTGCGCACAAAAGTCGTACCAACAAAACAAACGGAATTTTTGCGATCTACCATGAATCGCATATTGGAGGAGCGGGAGAAATCTGGAATGAAGCGTCACGATTTAATCGATATCTTGATAGAATTCAAAAATCAAACCAAAAACCAACCAAGGCAAGATGATTTAAAATTTGAAGGTGACCTGCTCGTGGCACAAGCGGCTATATTTTTTATAGCAGGATTTGAGTCAACATCGACTACAATGTCATTTACTTTATATGAATTGGCAAAAAACCCGGAAATGCAAGAAAGACTACGCAAAGAAGTTTGCGATGCTCTTAATGAAAGCCGCGGAAAGATCACGCAACAGATCATTGAGAGCTTGGAATATATGCAAATGATTATAGATGAAACATTGAGACTTTACCCTCCGTTACCTTTCTTAGATCGCGAATGCTCTTTGCCTAAAGGCCAGAGTTACTCCTTAGAGCCGTTCCATTCGTTTTCAATACCCGCAGGCATGCCCGTTTATACACCTGTCTACGCTTTACATATGGATCCGAAGGTAAGAAATAAAATAAACCCATATTTCAATATTTCTTTAAAGATCACTTTGGTTTTTGTATCCTGCCATATAGTATTTCCCTCAACCTCACGAATTTCAGCCGGAACGTTTTTCGCCCGAGCGTAAAAAATTGATAACTCCTTACACGTATATGCCTTTCGGATTGGGTCCTCACGCCTGCATTGGTGAACGTTTTGCTATGTTACAAACAAAAATCGGTTTATTAAATTTCTTACGTAATCATCGTGTGGCAATGGGAGAGAAAAGTGTAAATAGTATTATATTAGATCCAAAGGCTCTAATCTTACAATCCCAAGGTGGTATACATTTAAATGTTATACGAGACCCTTTAAAGTATTAAACGAGGAAAGTAGTTTTTAATCACTTTAATGCTGATAGACACGGGGATTGACATGCGAACTATGTTTACAATGTTTTTAAAAACCGCTTTAATGAGAAATTTCTTAACAATGTATTTGAAAAGTCCCTATAATTAAATTTAAAACATAGTTTAAATTGTAAATTCATAGTTCACTCAAACAATGCTTGCTTTCGTTCAATAAACTTACACATGCAATATTTACAACGTATTTGTGTAATGTCGTCAGGGCACTACAATTGTGCATCATTGTTGAATTGTGGTCTCTCGTTCTGAAGAAAAGATACAGGCTTTAAAGAGCCGAAGCTATTTGTCAAACAACATTTGAAATTCAGCATGCACATAAGCATGTCCGTCTGTTCGTCTATCCATTTGTTCATCAATTACGCAACCATAAATCAGAGAAATATTTTTAATTTTTGCGAGAGGGAGATTTTGCCACGCACATGTGTCCGTTTGCGAAGTTAGTAAAATTCAATTTAATTTTAAATTTACATAAATTAAAATTTTTAATTCAATTTTCAGATTGCTTTGTGTTCACCTTTTCTACTGCCGTAGGGTCTTTTTCAGACAAACTGAAATCAACCGCTACGGAAAAAACATACTGTTGCCGCGGGGTCGTCTTGAGCCTTATTTTTGGCATACACTGCGATTAAAAATATATTTACCATCTATTTGACCTAAATAGGACTCAAGAAATCTAATCGCAATGAGGTGATACTTGTCTTTTTAGTTACAATTAAACAGAAATAAGGATAAAGTAGAGATAAACACAAATAGGTTAAACACAAACCTACCATTGGAGCAGAGCGAATCATTTTCATGATACGGAGGCGGTGATGTTGGTGGTCCCTAATAATTATCATCAGTCATCATCGCACTCTCCTCTATAAAATTGTCATTGTTAATAGGGCTACTCGGCATGATGTCACTGCTCGACGCACCAGTCCCGTCAGTCCTAGTGTCAACGTCGTTTGTAATTGTTATAAGACCTACTAACACATCATCTGTCCTATTTAACACGCCCCTATCATTATACCCAAACAAGCCCTTCATTTCTAAACGTATGCTTTCCTCTACTTTCCTGTCACAGTCGAGTTGTTTTTTAATCGTCTCTGCGGCCCGCTTAACCACAGTTCATACGCATAGATAGGTATGGGCCATGAACTGAACGGCACGTCGACCCCCCCTCAAGTCATTTCAGAGCACGCCTAACGTTTTCTAAAGTTTTTCTTACCTTGTCAACAGTCACTGCACGGTTCAGTTCCTGGCTAAGTATATCAGTTAGTTCCTTGTATTGTCCTTTAGTTGAACTCCACCACACCCTCCGATTACACCACAGGTTGGAGATATTCCCTTACTAGTCTACTTAAAACATAATTCATATGCTTATTTACCGCAGTATAGCTATTGTGCAATGGGAAAATTTAAAATTCTAATTAAGTTTTGACTAATAATAATATTATCGAAAAAAATTCTGGAATTTTTCCATTTCTAAAACTATAAGACCCTGAAAAAATTTTTCCATATTGTCTGTAAGCATATAAATATAAAGTATACGCAGCTCTAAAAAAGGATAATAAAGATAATATAATTTATTCTGAAAATGAAAAAAATCAGCCACGCCTACCCAATATATATATAAATATATATAATATATTATATATGTTTTCTCTTAATGCTTTTGTGATTGATTTATTCTATTACTGTAGCAACTGTATTTGTTTATTGGCATTGCAGAGGTCTGTGCGGCTGTAGAGAGCAGCTCCGCTTTTTGCGCCTTCTCCAATGTATTATATATTCCTAAGTATTTTACACATTTCTGGCATCGCGATGGCAATTATAATAACTTTTTCTACATTGTACATAATTTGCATCTGTTGTACCAGCTCCATACATTTGACAATCTTATTAGAATTCTTTTTTTGCACTTTTTAGGTCACTTTTTATCTCTTCAATATTTTGGCTTGGACGGCTCTTGGCTTAGGTTTTGTTTAAAACGTTCAGAATGTCCACAGAATAGCTGCAGCTAAGGACCACATGTGACGATTTTTTATATATTTATTTATTTTTTATGCATTTGAAAAAGAAAAGACTCGGCGTAACCACGCAAATTTACTACAAATCTTACTTTTAGAGTTGCGTTTATACAAAAAATCGCTGCAAAAGAAGACAGAGAAAAAAATGTTGTAAAAGTAAGTACAATGTTTTTTTAAGTGCCGAGCTAAACATAACCTAGCACAAATTCTACATAATTTTTTTTTTTTTTTTGATTTGTATGGATGAATAGACTATGCCTGTTAACTGAAAGGCCTATGTATAAGTAAAGTGATTAAAATTTTTAAATTCACAGTCTTAAGAATTTTTTGGTTAGTTTCAATTATTTACTGATATTTTCTCCTTAAATTTTTGATTTTATTGATTCCTAGGTTAATTTGGTACTTCTTTGGTATTTCTTTTACAACTGCACCTTAAGAGAAGTAAGGATCCCACAGTCGGGTACTGCTGTCAATTGGATACCCTATGCTTAATTAATAACACACCAGAAACAGAACATACATTATTTTTATGTAAATGCAAAGTATTTGTGAAAGCCCTGATATTGGAGGATATTCCAACGTCGACAAGGTCTATAATTGGCAAATTTAATTTACTTGTCAAATATTTTATTATTTTCCAGTTGCTGCTGGCAAAACAAATCACAAACAAGGCTACGCCGCCGTAGCCGGGTTTCCTGTGATGACGCCCGCTACACATGGTGCGATCAAAAAGTAGGTCCATATTATTCAAATTCCTTATGACCGACTCAGTCGCCGTAGGAAATATTATATGACAAGAGGTACAAAAAATTGCTCCATCCCACCAAAAGTTTTAACACCAATTCAGAATACCGAAAAATTATTAATGGGCGATTTTTGCCGCGAAATTCTAAAAATGACTATATGTATTCTTACAACACACTTTTCAAAATAAGATGATTTATGAAGATCTTTAATTTAAAAATTAATTCATTTTTGCTCCTTACATTACTTGAATGAATTTTCTAGGTTCGTATGTTATAGTCCTGTTTCATGTATTTAGACACCATATATGCACTACTGCCCAATGGAGTATAATAATCCTTCCTATTTTTTTCACGCTGTCATAACATTTACTTGTTATCTTTTGGATAGAATTAAATAAATATTTACTAAACAAATGAAGAGATTATAGTGTCGCAGGGCCCACCGTTAAATACCCTACACCCCTTCGTTCAAAACAGTTGTTTCTACAACGACTGTTCACGATAAGAGTTTATATTGAAAGTAGGAGTAAAAGCGGTCCAAAACGTACCATTTCCATAAAGGGTTCACTTTTGGGCCAAAACATATTATTTCCAAACTTCACAATAATTGTAACCTAACATGCATAGGCATCAGACGGACAGGCAGATTCTGAATCGAAACATGATCAATATAATGAAAGATAGGCCTATCTCAACGTTTATCATATTAACTTCGCTTAAAAATGGTTTTTTCTTGGTATGCGGCAACAAAAATCTTGATGTAAAACTCTTGACCTAAAACATTTCGAACAGTTTCGGGATGAATATCAACAGCATCAGTTAATTCCAATTATTATTATTATTATTATTATTATAATTAATTTCGCCAGAGAAATAAATTCTAAGACTAACCTCTTAAAAGCACTAGCATCTAAGGCTATCGGCTTTTATTAAAAACTCTACCGCACTTGAGATTCGAACCCACGACCATTGACTTGCTAGTCGAGATTCCTCGCCTTCGGCTACTCAGGCGGATCAGTTAATTCCAATAACATATCGTTCTTCCTGCTCTGCAAGTTTGTTCTGGTATTTGTGTTATTGTAATTTCTCATAATAACTTAGACAGTAGCACGACTACTTGCGATTATTTTTGCTATTTCTCCGCACCATTTTTCCTCGCTTTTTAATCACTTTTCTGACCTCTTGCGCAATTGGCTTACGTTTTTCTATATTATATGAAATTTTAAGGAAAAGAAACTCACTTTAATTGACGAATTATTGTTTTAATGAACGAACACAGAAGTACAAAACTGCATATTAACTAATGATACTCGTTTTTTAAACTTTGAACTTCTAGTTATGCCGTATAAAGGCTTCCCTGTGTTTCTTATGAGATTAGTATATACTTTTTCGTCATAATTTTGTCTTAAGTCAAAGAAATATCTTGAAGCGTTATTTTGTATAAGGTTGGGTTTCTTATGGGATATATTTTTTGATCCTCAACCCATAAATGCACTTTTCGGTACTGTATGCACGAAGACAGCGCTCAGAACAATCGATGAAATTATACACAGCAAGGAGCCGAAGACACTTTCGGTCTTTAGTTGATAACATAGTTCAGGCAATAGTATTATGCAAAAAATATGATCCAGTAATGGATTGATAGTAAAAGAAGATGTAGACTTTACTGGACTATCGTACAAAGCTTTCAATGCAAAGTAAATATCAAATGCCAACACCGTTTCCAATTCGATCATTAGACACGACGTTTCTAGCCGTGTGTGAAATCTTAGATCTGTCATATGCAAGCTATGTCTACGCCCCTATTTGTAGGATTTAACGATAACTGGTTTTGGTATAAAAAGTCCATCGCTTAACGGCGCAGAGCTTCTTCCTCAGAGCTTGCCAATGTGGCGAAAAAATAATTTAATTTAAAAGAGATGCCAATTAATCTGAATTCATTCTTTTGATAAATTTAGGTAATTAAATTTAAAAGATAAGAATAATAACTTATGTAAAATGGTGTACAATTGTTTTGAAATTTACATTCCCTGCTGTCATAATTTGTATAGTGTGAAAAAAGCTTACACCAATTTATTTAATCGAAAAACAGAAGAAATTTCAAATATCTGTAGTATGAAAAAGACTTAATCCAGTTTCTTTAATCGTAAAGCAGAAGGAATATCAAATTTCTGTAGTACGAAAAAAACTTACACCAGTTTTTTTCTTTCTAGTGTATCGACATGTTGTCAGAAAGATGGCAAAAACTTGTAGAAAATGATGGAAAATATTTTGATTAATGTACATTGTGCCAATATTCCTCAATAAATGCGTTTTTCAAGTGAACAAATTTTCAAAATATGTGCAACCACTTAATGGAAATAGGTAGCTGTAAAAGCTCTACAATTCCGTTTGAGCTCATGTGGACGCTTAGCGACAATGTGACAAAATCTTCCCATTTTTATGCTTTGCTTCTCTTAGTTTGTCATTAACTTTCAAATCCCCCTTTGCAATTTTAATTGAGAAGCATCACCAGGCATAGCTTTGAATCTCCATGATCAGCTTCTTATATAAATGTTATATATTGATCGGTTTATGTTATATTGTACGAGTCTCGCTTATAAATTCTTCTGCGGGTGCAATAATTTTCATTCTTATTTTTCAGAATCTGGGAATACAACTTACATGCCTTATCGAGCGAAAATCTTATAAAACGCCACATAAAATCTTCCTGAAAGTGAGCACGTATTGATCTGATCACCAATTCAATTCCATTTTTCATTTTGTAGAACCGCTCTTCCACACAGAAAATTTCTTATTTTTAAACGTTTCACATACGAGTATTGGTTAACATTATCTCCCCCTACACCAGTTTTTGTGCAGTATATAGTGTTAAGTATTAAGTGTTTGCTGACTTATGTAACACCCAGAAGGACTTGGGCTGAATCCACCTTTAACTGCACTAGGCGAAATGGCGTAGGGTATCTAATGCTCGATTTTGATGTTCTTACTTATTTTAGTTTAGAAAATTGGAATATTTTAATTTTTACAAGGTTTACATAGCTTGGATGCACAAAATAGTATAAAGTGAAGAATAAAATCAAAAATTCTTGAACTAAACAATCGTTAAAACAGCATTTGAACGGTTTAACATATTCTAGCAGGAATCTATTCTACTATAATGACATAGAGTAGTTAACTGACAAATGTAGTCCATTAAATTTGACATAATACGATTTGAAGCTGGTCACACTAAATGGATCAGAAGCAATTGCTTTTTATTGCACTATGCTCAACATAACGCACAATTGTCATTTACGATTGTATTGATTTTTTATCCCACTTGGCAACATTTCATATTTAACTTTCCGGACATAATTGGCTTTTTAAACAACTGGCATTCAGCTATCTGGTGCTAGGTAAGTAATAATTCAAGGCAGTAAGTAGTACTTGTAACCTTGCCCCTTACGAAGAGTAAGTAAAAGAAGGCGAAGTAAAAAATATTTGTAAATAATAAGACAATAATTGACGTATCTTTTGATATAACAAAACTTTAGATGGCTACAACAAGGCTTTTCAAGGCTACCACCTCTGCCAAAGTACGTCAAATTTGCTTAAGGGCTGTGTTAGTTTAAAACCAACCTGTTGAATGCTCTGGGAATACCACGAATTGTTCGTCAACTTAATTCGACATAAACTAAAAAAGAGAAAATTATATTCTGCTTCGCCGAATCTTTTATGCCAACCGACCTTATCCTAAAAGACACTAAGAAAAGAAGAGAAAAACTGCACATGTTTACTTTACAATATTGGGTGGGCGTGGCTGATTTTATCGAGTCCAGCTTTTCTTCATTTTCATCGAAACTCCTGCAGCTTTTGTTTAGATTCATACAACAAGTTGTAGCTTTCGTTTAGTTTTATGGTAGTATTTGCTACTGTTATACATAGAAAGCATACATTATGTAATAAACTTTTATATATGCAAAGTTTTTGTTTTTTATAAATTTTATTTCAACGAAATTTTATCGTACATGTTATCACGTTTGACAACTAAATGAACGCCATTTTGAAATTGCAATATCACACCCATAACGTTGAACTGGGCTTCTTTCGGAGTTTCCTTACAAGCTGCGACGTGATGATTCTTTAAGAAATGCACTAACCCAACTTTCGATTGCAACAAACCAATACGCATACCAATGCAATTGTGTGGACCAGTACCAAAAGGCAGGTAAGTCATAGGATGATGAAGTTTTTTATTCTCTGCAGAGAAACGTTCAGGATCGAAACTCTCTGGGTTTTTCCAATACTATTATGGGAAAAAAAGAAAAAGGGGTTAGAAAACTTTTTTCTAAACAATTAGCCACAAAACACCTTAGGATCTCTTTGTAAAGCATAGATGGGTATATAAACCGGCGTACCGTTCCTCAGGGCAAAATTATAAAATGGTTCTAATATAATTTTATTCTTCTCATCGCTTGGGGCTTGATATTGACGATCCAAAAACGGCAATATTGGATATAAACGTAAAGTTTCCTCCAAAACCATATTTAAATATTGCAATGAACTGATTTTCTCATACGTCAGATTACCGTTGCTTTCGAGCAGAGCCTCATGAATTTCTTTACGCAATTTCTCCTGTAAGTTAGGCTGCTTGGCCAGTTCATATAAACAGAAGGCCATCGTAGATGAAGAGGTTTCAAAGCCGGCAGTTAGAAAAACACCCGCCTGAGCCACTAGAAAATCGCTGTCAGTGAACGAATGTTTGCCTTCAGCGGCTTCTTTTCTCAATTTGACTAAGATATCAATGAGATCGTTGCGTTCATAACCCTTACGATCTCGCTCGTCTATAGTATCATTAATAGCGGAACGTAAAAACTTGGAAAATTTCTTGGAAAACATTGTAACTTTAAAAATATTAACCAGTTTTGGCAAAAAGAAACACACCGAAAATTCTACAAAACGCCAAAAATTAAATGAAAAAAAAGACTGGGTATGCATACGAAATTCTCCATTTGGATTTTTTAAACTATTTGCATTAATTCCAAAAGCTATGGTCGCTATAGAGTCCGTAGTGAATAGAGAAGAAATATATTTCAAGTCGGCCACAAATGTATCACTCTTCTGTGCAAGAAAATCTTCCAGTTCACAGCCAATCTACAAATATAAAAATTAAAGTTAAGTGGGCGTAGAAAGTTAAAAAATCGTTCCCAATTAATCGAGATTTTACTTAATTAAAACATTTCTAATTAAATTGAAACCTCTGTGTTCAACAATTACTGCAAGGAGAATCGCCATAGGTCAGTTTTTTAAAGGTCGCTGTTAGCTTGCAAAGAGTCGAATAACGTGACACTTCTTTTTAGATGCACACCTTATAGAACTGTAAGCAACAAGCAGAGTCTGCTAAAGGTTTGCCCTCGAACAAATAAAAGTCTGGCTCTTTTCTAATACCATCGAAGGTATATCGATTGACCCTAAGAATCCTATTTCAAAGTCCACAAACCTTTTCCATGAAATAGGTCTGGTCTTTATATTGTCAGATAATTAGCCATCACCAATCATCTGCATTCGTTGTGATAACTATCACAGGATATAGAACTTTGCCGCGTGCCCGGCTTATTCTAGTAACTTTTACAAAGGACGATACAAGAAGTGGCAAACTGTTCGGCAATAAAGTTTTAGAAAAATTGCTGCTATCTTTCACATGCTAAGCAGTCTAGAATATATCGAGCTTTTAGCAAATCAAAACTTTTGTATTTATTTCGTTTCTTCAATACGCACGTTACGACGATTGCAAACATTATACTCTATTACTGCATTAATAAAAGCCAAGTTGGGAGAAGATACCTCTTGAATTCCTTAAGGCATTCGTTCTCCTTGTCTCTACTTACCTGCCGTATTAAAGGATACATTTGTTTAATTTTGCCGCTTGTAAATACTGGCGATATTTTTACTCGCATTTCTTTCCAAAACGCATCGCGTGCAAAGAATAAATTATAAGTGCCTAAAGCATCCCTATGCGGATCACATTTCCCATAACGATTTGAAAAATAATTAAAATCCTTAATAAGTATTGATTTAATTAAATCCAAATCTCTAATTATCAAGGCAGGCTGATTGAATATGTAAATTCCCACAATAGGCTTATCGGCCATTTCCGGTTCATTGTAAATATCTGATACATGTAAACCGAAATTACGCTTAAACATTATGGCTTCTTTCATATCCCCAATAAAAGGTATAGGCTTAAATTGTGGTACACCATGACGTAGCCAATAACTGTAGGTATATTTATACCGATAGTATAATAAAAAAACTGTAGTCAAGAGGAAGAATATAAAAATTTCAACGAACATTGCTTATTTATTAAAGATAACAAGAATTATTTTATATATTTGGTCTTAATACGTTTACACACTTTACGCTACTAGCAATAACGTTCTAGTAAATAAAGTATTTATGTTAAGCAAAAATTAATAAGCAGAAGCACTTATACATGACTTTTCCGTTGGTGGCTGCACGCAAACAACACATGTCAAAAGTGCATAAGACGATGAAAATAACCAGTTATACGTTCAAAATGATCGTTTTTTAATCATTTTTCGCAAATGATATGCGTTCGTGTATTATTTACTAAGTAAAGCAATTTCAATTGAAATATGTCTTAATAATAAATGATAATAATTCTATAAGAAACAATAAAATTAAAAAAAATAAAAAACAAATGATATCACCGCAGATGGACACGGCCCATTCAATACCACCCTATAATTATTCATACAACGACTTATCAATTTAATGCGTTCTATGGGAAGTGCTCAAAAACCTGGTCCGATCCTAACCATTTTCAGAAGCGTTCATCCTTAAGCGAAAACATGCCGGTGTGCCAAGCTTCAGCAAAATGCCTTACAAACTGCAACCTGTAAGTTGAAAAGAGAACACAGACAGACGAAGAGAAAAGCTATAAAATCAGTTTCTGAATTAGGTGGTATAACAAAATGTTGGTCTATCGCAAGTCTTTCTGGCTTTTACCTGCATCCGTACAAACTTAATATGCTCTTTTATTCCAAGTGGTGTAGGGTATAACCGCTGAGAACTACATTTGACGTAGCTAGAATATTTTCGAACTCGCAATGTTCTTTAGATAAGTCATTTTATAGATTACCTGAGAGCGAGTTATATTCTAAATATATCATTTCATTTGTAATATTTCGAAATATAAAATGCAATCATCATAAAGACAATTCAATCTTGATTTGGATTCGCGGCTTTTGCTGCGCGCCTATATATCTTTTCGTAGACTTTTGGGGTAGCGACATTTGTAGTGTATATATGTAGAGATAAAATTGACAAGCGCGCATTGTTTACCGATAAGCTCTTCTCCGAGACGGCTTGAGGTAGAGCATATTCATAACTCTCCTCAAAAATGTGTTAATCTGACATATGTCTTGTTGTTGTTGGTCCAGCTAAAAGGAAAGTATAAAACTAATTTGGTTCGAGTTACGTATGTCCTTGAGGAAGATAGTGGGTATCAAAGATTCGGTTAATGTGATTTTTTTAACCGTTTTTTTTTTATACCTTTAGATTTATTTAGCGGCTTGAGAAGTGCTGTTAAGAGAAGTGCCGTTAAGAGTATGCCTGTTCTTCATTCATCACTTCGCTCAGCCTCTTTACTAGTTACGTTCGTTTGCTTTTCATAACCATTTTCACTATATTCAATTGAGTCTATTCATTTAGTTGCCTTGTTAGTTTCTTTGAGATTTTATTTCAACGCTTTGCTGCAGATAATGAGTACGAAATGATCCCAAGGGAAGAAGACACACGTGAAAGCTGCTAGATTACGTGTCACATTTGTCGTTAAGTCAACACAAGACGTTATGTTAAAAGACATAATAACAGCTACAATAGTAAAAAAATGATTGCACAAACATGCGCACTAGCAATCAATAAAGCTAGAACTTATGCGTCTGCTAGCGGCTATGACACCTACATAAAAAAAGCGTATGAAAAGAAATAACAAAGTTTTTTTCACAGACGGACGGATATCACTGAAATGCGAACTATATGAAAAAAAGTCGTGTTACTAAGAGTAAGCAAGAGGGATTGGATGAAAAGCTGAAAGGTAGGATGAATACTGCTCATTACATTACGAAGCATGAAAATTCATAAAACAACTAATTTTAGTAACATTGCATTGCTACACGACCACTTTGGTACACATTCTTCATCAACTAACACTACCGACAACTCACAAGAATCAAGTAAGGGTTTATCAAAATCTAACCCAAAAACGATTTATAAGCGGAAACAAGCCATTTGTACGAAAGCATTTTCTATCTTTAAACAAAGCAGATTTTAAACGATATATTTGGGATAACAAAGCGGTGGTAACTTTAAAACCTTCAGCTTGTAAGCCCTTTCCTGCGCCTCTCTGTTATATTGCTAAAGGCATTGGTCATCTTTGTAATGCCATCACGATATCATAAGAATACACTTGCGGATTTATCTGCGCGGTAATTGTCTCGCAAGTCCCACAATTAAATAATGCTGTTACTACAACCATTAATAATTCGATTGGAAACTTGAACGCAAACGTAACTGAATAATAAATAAATTTTATACAATTAATTTCACCAATTTCTTCTTCTTCTAATTTTTAGTCATTTTTTATTCTTGTTTTATGCAATTTTTTTAATTTTTTTGGCAATTTTCAACTTCATGTATATGTTTTACCAACTTCTTTGTGCCCTTGTAAAATGATCGCTCGCTAAAAACCGTTGCTTGGTTTTTTCCTTTGCATGGTTTCTACAAATAAGTACCATGTGTGGAGAAAGGAGAGAGAGCGCACAGTTGCTTTCAATAAATTGTAAATAAGTGTAAGAATTTTGAGTTCGATTCAGTTAGTGTGAAAAAATATTTATCTTGGTGTGGTGTTGGATTGCTTTCATCCGAATGCCTCACCAAAACCTCAGGAATTGCATAAAATTATTCAAATATTCCAAAATGCAACTAACTCTTCAAAAACTTTATTAATTCCTATACCAAGAAAGATGTTCAATTGAGGCTAAATTGACGTTGATGAGCAGATATGCCTTTGTGCACGAAAAGTGACAGCATGCTCCAATTTTTTGCTTTGTGACATAAACGACTCAATGTTGAATATATTATTTCGTTTCTCCGCACAACGACATTTATGTCTTTGGAAGCAGTTTTTCAAACTTTAACAGGAGCGGAGATCAGTTTTTCAAAGTTTAACGCAAACGGACGTCAGTTTCTCGAGCTTTAACAGAAACGAAGGTCAGCTTTTCGAACTTTAATAGAGACGGACGTCACTTTTTCACACTTTAACGGAAAAGGAGGTCAGTTTTTCTAAATTGAACACAGACATCAAATGACCAGAGTAACGCTAGCTGCAGCTTAAGTGCATCGATACTTGTACTATTTCTATGTAATGTCATTTACCGTAATGAAGACGAGTACACCTTATCTGAATGTTCGTATGGTGTCGCGAGACCTTGCACCGTCAGGACGCCGATTTAGAGCAAATTTTCAAGGTACTAATAGGTCAGAGCAAAGAGTTACTACCGGTTTGATCAATTTAGTATTTGTTCTACTTAAAACCAAACAAAGTTCATCGTTCCAACAAACATTACATTAATTTCCTAACGGGAATCATACGGAAACGTTTTACTTTTGGTCAGGGTATCATAAAAAAGTTAGCTGAATGGATGAGGGTGTCTTCGAAATGATATCCGTATCCCATGAAACTACATAAAATAAATAGCTTATAAGTCCGTTTGTACGGATTAGTTGGGAAAGATCGTTTCAGGAAACGACCTTTTTTCGTTGAACACATGTCGCCTATTCACAGGCCTTGGTCTATGGGAATAGATGAAAGTGCTTTATTTAGGACACTGATCTGATCTTGATTTGGACGATTTCTCGGATGTATTTCGTAATATATATAAAAATTTCAACTCGCACGAAGTGAAAATTATTCAGCCATATTTTAATTATATAATTATTAAAACTACAGTACGGTTAATTTGTTACAAAACGCTAAAAAAATTTAAAAATATTAATAAATGTTTCACAAAATAAGTTGAGCATTAGTGATCTTAAGTAGGACTCATTTTGCATACTAATGTATTTCTACATTAGAAAAAACCACGTTCAACAACATATGCAAAAATATATATATTGCTTCTATCCGAAAGTAATTTTTTCTATATGTTTTATTACTCTTTTAAGCAAATAATCGCAATTCGAAACACCAGACAAAATGAAAGGCTAGTCAGATAGAGCGTAAAAAACGAAAATTGTCACAGACAAAGGACTGAAACTGGCGACTGCGCCGGCTGTAATAAACTGTTGTTCCACATGTATTGCAGGGTATAACGAAGAGATATTAAAAAACCAATAGCGAAATTTACTGTGAAGGAGCACTTACTTCTAATTTCTAATTTCCAAAGTTGCATTGGTTACACTACTTAACACTGAATTAATTACCTATTTTTATTGATCAGCGGTCGTAAAATTAGCGATTGTGTTTTGCTTGTTCAGGTTTGAGTCACTTGTTATCAATAACGTGTTCCGTAACAAAAGTGACAATAATAAAATCCTTCAATATCAATTTTGCACTAACACAAGGTTCTTAGTTTATGAAAATCATAATTTGAGTTGTTAAAAAAGGAGGAAATAGAAGGCCGCTCAGAATAAAGCGAGTAGCCATAACTCATTCACAACAAATAGTAACGACCCGTTGAAATATTCATTAGGGCTATAAAAAGCTTTTGCTTACTAAATTAGTTGGGGCCATCTCGAAGTTAGTAAATGGCGTTAATAGTTTTACTATGCCTATAATTCAAGTTTTCGTAAGGAAGAAGTTATGAGTTTTGAAAATTAGACCAAGAGAAAAAAGAATGTGAATCAAATGTTAGATCTATATGGATTATGGATAAAAAAAATTGAAATCGCAATAACCGGTCGCAATGCACCATAAAATATTCTACGCAACCGTACAGTTACCCATTTCCGCATCATTCTCAGCAGTATTTCTCCTTGGCCGAAACATGTCAGTGCACCAAATTTGATCGCAATATCCTAAAAACTACGGTCGATATGTGCAACCCATGAGAAAAACGCGGCCACTGGCGATTGCTCTGCTCCTAACGACTGTGGTACACCTAGCTGCAGCGCTGCACATATCAATTGTGCTGTCCTTAGCTACAGCGTTGCACTTAACGAAATGCAGCGTTGCTCAAAACGACTGATCTGCGCCTAACGACCGTGCTGTACCTAGCTGAACGCAGCGCTGCACCTAACGACGATGTTGCACTTAGCTACCGAATCTTTTCTTCTTCGTCAAATCCTAGAAAACCTACCTCGTCCTCTTTATCAGTCATCTCATTTACCTCTTCCTCGCTGTCAGTCTCAATCTGTACATTTCTGTTGTCACTTATTTGTCCTATCATTGTCTTTACCGTTCGCGCCAACACCAATTAGAAGGATGCAGTATATATATATTAACGCGGTTTCCATCTTCAGATGTTGCGAAATTCAGACACTTACTCTCAAATGTTTCTGAATTATTTTTGAATTACTCTCAGATGTTACGAAATTCATGGTCGTTTTTTCAATGCAACAGCCGTTAACAAATGCAGACTGACTCTTTGAATTATTCTCAATTGTAAACAAATACAAACTGAACAAAAAAAAAGAATTTATCTATAACTTAAAACTTCTTCAGCATTTACTGGACTCTCTCAGTTATAGTCTGGATGGCTATTCGGAAGATAATTCCGATTCTCCTAAAAAAAGCAGGCCAACAGCTTTTAAACACTTCGAGCACAATTGATTAATAAAATCGCATAGTGATTTCCAAACCTGGTGGCGTGTGATAGTTGAGATTATAGACAGTTGGCCCACTGCTTAAGAAGGCCATCGAACGAATACCAATTCTCTCGCGTACCAAATGTAGTCTACCACTGTTGTCCGATCGCCCCGTCTTCTACCCACCCTTCTCAAATTATACCTAATTGCTTAACTTTTTTTTAAAACATCTCGCTCTGTTACTAACTGACCAGTTTCGTCCGTCAGCCGGTCGGCTAACCTGTTGTGCAGTAGGTTGCATAGCCCAGCATGGCTCCACAAGTTGAGATATTCTTTAAATAATTGAGTAAATAGTCTGTCCGGAATCTTTGCCATGGTATATTACTTATAATATATGATGAAAATATAAAATTTTACAGTATAATAAATAGTAAGAGACAAACCTGAAAATAAATGGAATATAAAATAGACAAACAAATGTAAAATTTTTGTTAAATTGTTAACATTATGGTGGTGTGAAGAAAAAATAAAAAAAATAATTGTCAAATTAAATATAAATGAAACCCCGATCAATTTTTTTTTAATTTCAATTTATTTACGTAATAATTTTACATTTTTTACATTTCAATTTAATAATAATTCCAAATTATAAATAAAATTAAACTAAATTCAAATTAAATTAAATTTCAAATTAATAATAACTAGAACCGCGTAATAAATCTTATAAACCAAATGTTGTCAGCTCCGGCTTTTGATGTTTTCAATATTTATGTCATTTTTTGGAATTTTTTGGAATATTTTTTTTTTTAATTGAAAAAGTAACAAAATGGAGCATGACTTAAACGAAAACCAATTCAAGCAAAACTCCACTGTTTCCTTATTTGAACAAAAGACATTTTTTCCAAAATCAAAATGCAAACAGAAAATAAATTTGACTTCTGTATTATACGCATATGTGTTAATTGCTTTTCTGTAATCGCATTGCATATGCTTGCGTTCATTTAAATAGTACATAAATAAATAAAAGCCAATGACAAATATTTTATCTACCTCCAATAGCATATCACGGCTACTTTTTGATTTTAAGATCGAACTTGCGCAAACGTTTGTTTACATTTTAGCAAATGCAATAAACCAAACAAGCACAATGCTTTAAAGCATGACTTAATTGATTAAAAAAGTAAAGAAATAAAATATCAAAATATATGAAATACGTTAGTTGTTGTTACGGTTTTGGTAGATATTACCAAAAAAATTATGAAATCTTTTTCACGCTTTTATATCAAATGAATTAATGTTTGCTAAGGTACTAACTATGCTATCTTTTTTTGAATTTTCCTTTAGAACCACTAATGTACGAAGTAACTATTAAATAAAACACAAATGAGATGTAGTATACTCATATCCTATATTAGCATACGGTTGCTTCATATATACATACACATTTTCGCTTTCGTATTCAAAGCACAATACAATACATTTGTATTACAACAGATGATATACTTCGGTTCGTCCAATTTCCTGCCCTACAACAACTAAACGTTTTGTTACGCACACAATCTGCGTGCAATAACAATAATTGATAGTAATTGATATGTTTGCACATCTATTAGGCATTCTCCATTCTTAACGCAGATTCTAATAAAGCAATGGCTAATATAATGTAAATAATAGTGCGGCACACATATTTGTAGTTGCAATGCCGCCAATATGTATGAATGCAGGGCTTGTCGCCTTTTAAGCTCCAAACCATCTGACACCCATATCTCTGGTGTTATTACGGTATTGTTATAGCAGGTGAGGTAGTGTTCACTATATTTATTTAACAAATAAATATTAACTCCCTCACTCATTCGCATATTCAATCATTTGTTTCTTCATTAATTTATTCGCCCTTTATTATGTTAATTTAAAAAGGAAACTAATTCCAATGAAAACACATATATGTGAAAAATATATCATCTTTCAGTGAAATAGTAGAAAAGTGGTTGTATGTTAATGCTAATAATTGCTAGCAACTAGAGACACCAACGAGATTCCCAGAAAAACTATACGAATCTCAGATGTATCTCTTTGCCAAAAAATGAAGTTGTAAATGACAAGAAATGCACTTACCAGTCAATGTACATATTTTCTTTGTTAGACATATTTAACAATTTTATCACACAAAATTTGACATATATTCAAAAATTTTAATACACTAAATTTGACATATATATAAAGCTAACTATAAGTCTTTATATTTTTATTTCGCATATTTTTCCTAATTTTTTATTATATATTGTAATAAAATATAAAATGGTATTTCTTTTCTGAGGCTGCGTGTTTGTGTTTGTGTGCGCCAAGTCTTCTATCACTTTGTAAATGCCAACGAAGCTCGGCATGAGATAGTCCCTATGCTAATTTAGACGGAACGCCTGATTAATAATTGCAGCGGATTGATACGCTAGAATTGAATTGTGTAAAAACAATTGCTTATTAAACATTTACTCAGCTATTTATACATAATTTTTACACTAAATTATGCTTACCCTAACAAAAATGATAATTGTTTAATTGTGGCGGCTGGCATCGTATTACATTACGAAATGCAATACTCAGCCAGGTGAAGTGCGACATAATTTTTGTTTGTTGCGTAATTCCGTCGCACCTCAAAGTGGATGCATATAACGATATGCGATCACATTACAATATATTGTTTAATTTTAAAATTTTTCAATTCGAATAACTTCTTTTTGCGCTTGCCAAATTTGTTTTGTTTCACAGAAAGCCGTTAGCTGACCGTTTGCACCGTTTATAAAAAAAATTACCATTTGTAGCGACTGGAAGAGCACAGAGTTGCTTTCAATAAATAAGAAAAATAATTAAAAAAAGCAATGGCAAACATACAAAGAGAAAAATATTCCTAGTATTTACGTACCTGGCATGGCTGATGAAAGCATTATAGTAAAACGACAGGGTACTATTTTTTTGGCTGGTACTGCTGTAGTAAAAGCTACCACGTGTGAAGAAGTGTCGGCCGATGATTTGGGTGGAGCTGATTTGCATTGCAAAACTTCGGGTATTGCTGATCATTACACTGTAGATGACGAACATGCTATTTTATGGCGCGACAAGTTGTGAGCAATTTGAATATGGCAGCATTCAAAGCCGATAATCATTTAATGTACTCCAGCAAATAAACTATTAAAATTGCTCAGAGCAGAGATATTCGACCAATCGTAGAGCCAAAATATGATCCTAAAGATTTGTACGCTATTGTCGGTCCGAATCGGACGAAAAGGTTCGATATTCGCGACGTTATTGCCCGAAGCTTTATGGTGACACTTTGGTATGTGGTTTTGCGCAGTTTTACGGTCATCGCGTTGGCATTTTTGGCACCAATGGGGTATTGTTCTCCGAAAGTGCTTTGCAAGGGGCCCATTTTATATAATTGTGTTTTCAACGTAAAATACCATTGAGATTTTTACAAAATATTACTGGTTTTGTAGTAAGTCGAGAGGCAAAGTGCCAAGGCATTGCTAAAAACGGAGCAAAATTGGTTACAGCAGTGGCTACGGCAAATTCCAAAATTCACTGTAATAATTGGCGGTTCCTATGGCAAAACATGTTCCGATGGGCAAAAGATACCTTCATACCGCATACCAAAATTGCAGTTTTTTATTTTTTACTTCTTTTATCTGCCAAACTAAAATATATAATACGATTTTTGAAATCGCATTGTAGGGATTCCACCGATTATTGTTATTTAAAGCGTCTTAATGGCCGCAACGTCTTATTAGCAATGGATGGAAGCAAATAATGATTTGTAGGAATTTCATCAAATTTTATTTAATAAATCTACAAATGATTAACATCTAATTACGGAATATAAACATATTTACATAGCAAGTAAAACTAAAGTGAAAAAGAAGCAACCCTGTCTGCATGAAAGTGCAGAATTATTGTGAACTAAAAAGGTTTTGCTTTATTCATAAAGCGAGAGGAACTTTGATTAATTTTTATTTTTCAAGTGAATAAAACAATAATTAAAACATGGCTTTGGCTGAAATTTGTAAAATTTCCGATGCTCCTTATATGAAAACGCGCGAAAACATAGCTGACTTAGATCGTGATTGTCAGCAATACGCGTGTAATCTATTAGATCCGTATATGCTGTCAGCGCCGCCATATGAAGATCCTTTAAAAAATTTGCAAAATATCGTGATCGATGGTGTCAAATCGGGAATACAAATGCATTTTGATCATGGCACTACCACTTTGGGCTTTAAATATCAGGGAGGCGTTATATTGGCGGTAGATTCACGTGCTACTGGTGGCCAGTTTATAGGATCACAAACTATGAAAAAGATAGTAGAAATTAATCAATATATGTTGGGCACATTGGCTGGTGGCGCGGCTGACTGTGTATATTGGGATCGTGTTTTGGCCAAGGAGTGTCGTTTGCATGAGCTACGCAATAAGGAGAGAATTTCAGTGGCTGCAGCTAGTAAAATAATGGCCAATATTGCTCATGAGTACAAAGGAATGGGGCTAAGTATGGGTATGATGTTGGCTGGTTATGATAAGCGTGGTCCAGGCCTTTATTATGTCGACTCGGACGCGTCACGATCTCCAGGCAATGTTTTTTCAGTGGGCAGCGGCTCGGTTTATGCCTTTGGTGTTCTAGATTCTGGTTATCGTTGGGATTTGAAAGACGATGAAGCTCAAGAATTGGGTCGTCGCGCTATTTACAATGCCACTTTCCGCGACGCTTATTCAGGCGGCATTGTTCGTGTCTATCATATGACAGCGGATGGTTGGGTGAATGTCTCCAATACAGATTGCATGGATTTGCATTACAAATACGAGCAGGAAAAAAAAAATAGTAAATAAACGACATCTTTGGAGATTTCTTCATTACAATAATAGAAAAAGATTTTCAAAAACTTCACCCTTTATTTTTTTATGGAAATAATGGCATAGTGTCTTGGTGATATTATTGGATCAAATAAAGGTATGAGGTAACTTTGTGTGTAATTCAATTCATATAAATATAAAAGACGATCCAATAGTATGACAGTTTCTAAAACCGGAGAAAAGCATAAGCGCAACATATAGAATAGTTCCAAATGTCGACAGGAGTGTTGATATTTTTGTTGTATGTATTTCACTCTTTCGATTTTGATTGGTAAGAAAGGATATTTTTTAAGGCACTCTGTGGCGTACTCTTCAAAATTATGATAGTTTTTTATTTTTCCAATTTGGATATTCTCTTTGAAATGAAGATCAGCTTCGCGAATAGCAGCCTCCAAAAGAGCTCGATAGAAAAGCGAAGGACTTGGCATTTGTTTGGCAGCTAAGACTCTTTCTAATGATTGAGCAGCTAACATTCGAGCATTCCGACCTAATTGAATTTGCTTTTCTTGCAGATATTGACTCATTGGAAACCCAGGCTCTGTTTGCTGATTCATTATCTCCATATTAGCAAAACTTTCCCTATTTGAGTACATTTCTTTAATCAAATGATAGCAACATCCAATGTTACACAGAAATTTGCATTCAGGTTGGGAGTGATATACTCGCAGACAGGTGGAGGCTAAATTGCCGCAAGTATGTAGTCCCGTTAAGCATATACTACTTGAAGCGCAGTTGGCATCAGGAAAATGCTCTTTCAGCAAATGGGAGAAAACCAAATCGTTTGTTATAAAACGGGAAGTTGTTTTATAATTTGACGCTGTTTTAGAAGGAGCTATCCCTTTCGTTCTCTTTAGCTTCTCTTTCTTGCTCGTCGGCTCTAAGCCTTCAAGTTCCGCACGCGCCTTTAGGCTCAGCCAAGCTTTCTGAAAAACGAGATATAGATGACTATTCCTTTTTTTAAATTTGTTATACATTACTTGCAACTTGCGGTTACGTTCTAAAGCACTTTCGGTATTTGATTGATTACTGTCTATTCCCAATACATTGTATCCATACTCCAATGCCAAACGTGAGGACAAATAACCCTTCCCATCGCCAGCGTCTATTATGAAAACGTCATCTTTTGGTTCCGATTTCAATAGACCGTATAATAAATTTACGGTCATTTCAACCTGAAAGGCAGAGACAAGGAAGTTTGAAAATATCAAATGATTTCGCCAAAATAAACTTTTACCTCGTGTTTTTTTTTGAAGCTCATAAATTCCTTAACGTTTAAATGATTATATGTTTCTATATTGTTTATTTCGCGAAATTTATCTAAAGTGAGTAAAATGTCATCAAAGCTATGCAGACTGTGCTGTTGAGTTAGTTTAACAAACTTATAACACTCTGGATATTCTAAACTACTCTTCTGTACATCTTTTGACCAAAATATTGTTTCGATACACGCAGCTAGTTGGGATGCATCTACTACTTCCTTTTGTAGAGCTGCGGGTACAAACGTTTCCCATGTATTGTCAGTTAAGAAATTTACCATATGGCAATTAACCCATTCCCAGTAAGGTTCCAGAAATGTTAACACGGCATCTAATCGCTTCCTCAAATTTGCAACAGTCATGATTAAAAGGATATATTGTTAGTTTCACTTAAATTTAATTTCGCAGAAGGTTGAGAAGGTTGAACTGTGCATAACATCACACACAGTTTTTTGTATAAAAGCCGTATATTTTCCAAGGAACCAATTATATCGGCATCGCTTTGATTCTCTCTGGGGAATTTATTAATAGCTTCTCGTAACTGATTCAGGGCACGTCTTACTCTTTCCGTATGCTGAACTTGCTGCAAAGCTACAATTTTTCCATAGATTTCCGCTAATTCATTGCCTAATGTTAAGCCTTGTTTGTAACCCAAACGATATCCTTCTTCATTGCCTTTTTTGCAACCAATGGAAAAGCCTTCTTGATAACCAGCTGCCGCACAATTTTCCTCAATCAAAACTATATCATCTAATAGATCGTTAAAATCACGTTCTTCCACTTGATTTCGTGAGTGTGTCATGATAAAAAGCAGCTGTTACAGTCTACGGATTACGTCTTTTTAAATGATATCGCTGATGTTTATTTTTCTACACTTCAGCCATGTGTAATTTGAGAGTCCGCTTCTGCATCTAAGCAAAAATTCAATGAAAACCCCGGATAAAAGAAATTATTTAGCAAAAAAATAAATAAGGTAAAATTATGACAGAAAAAAAAAAGAGAAGAGAAAATTTAGACGCAAAAAACGGGATAAGTGGCGCCAATTTTTGCGTTAGGAATACTTGATATATCTTTAGATTCCTTTGCTGTAAGAATTAGATGGGGAGTACCCACAGCTGAAAGTCAACTTTCGCCTTATATTCAGCTATTTTTGCCAAGTAGCTGAACACAAATGCGAAAGCTAAGTTTTTCATACGTGATTATCTCCCTAGGTTTGTAAAAACAAAAGTAGTTTAATTCATACGAAAAATGCTTAGCAATTATGTTTTAAGAAGCTTTGGATAAATTTTTTTATATTGAAAATGAAAACCAACTAAAGTTGTTATATTTTATTTTTCTCATTTTTGCGCACTTCTTCATGGTTAGTTTATATGATTTTTAAGATAAACGTACAATCGATTCGGAAGAAAATTAAGAAATTTAATAAGAACAATTCCCTCTGTATAAATTAAAACATATGATCATACAACCATGATATTTTCAGATTGGATGGTAAATAAGTCTAAGATATCCCTCCTAGCATTTGTCTTTTTTAAATTTTTAAACAGAATAACTTTATCAAGCGCACGTTTCGCAATAATCTCAATTGTTCGAATACTGAAGAATATTAAATTAAGGGCATAAAGTCAGTATAGTTAATATGTGTTTCAATTGACTAAACGAATTTCAATAGTAATAGAACTAGCAATACAAGCGAAAATTTATATTGAGGTAAACAGTTACCTTAGAACTTTTAACCGCCGTCCGGGGACGTCATCCATCTTTTTTGGTTTCTCTATAATGACAGTTTTTCTCTCTTTCGGCGTTTCATCTGCTGAAGGCAGAGACAGCTCGTCTTGAGAAACTTCAGGTAATTTAAACTTTTTCGCTTCCTCCTCAGCAACTAAAACATCTAATTGCATTAAAACATAATTTTCGTCCTGTTCGGATAGTGCTTCTGAAAGTAACGAGTCAATTTCTCGTTACTTTTCTACGCCTTCGCGCGTCTCATTCAAAGGTTTGAAGCGTAACAAAATGTGGACTTCTCAATTAGAATGACTTGTTACCGATTTTTATGTTTAGTTACTTCATTCTTCTGACGACTGCATAGTAGCATTTCAGTCCGATGTTTAGTTTTTGCAATTTGTTACTAAAAAAAATCCATAAGCTGGCTGGAAAAACAACTGGACCATAAGAATTCGTTGGTACTGCAATGTTATAAATAAGATTGAATTTATTTTCGTATAGTAATGATTGTATGAGCTTAAATTGGTGGAACAGAGAAATTTGATCAAACGAATTGTGAGAAAAAAAACTATATGTAAACTTTGTTTAGGCAGCGAAATATATTTCACGATTACGTGAAAACTTTCAAATTGAGACATGGAAAGAAGAGATATCACGATTACACTAGAAAATCCCTTTGTAATCAAAAGATGAATGTGAGAGGACGCTTCACTCGTCACATGGCAGAAATTGCATGAATTGGTATGAAACATACACATGTTTTTCAGAAGAGGGAATTATGATCAAAATATATTCTACAAACCGCTAACTTGCATGAATTATGATTAAAATCTACTCGATTGTGTTATGGCCTTATATTTTTTACTATTATCAGCAATTGAATATATTTGTCCAAATGTTAAATCGGCATTGATTGTATCACTGTGCAGCTAATAGATGTGAAAGAGATTGACATGTTTTTTTGTTCACTAGACCACAAAATGAGCGATATAAAAAGTAGCAGACTTGTTGCAGAATGCCACATTTTAGAAATAGTTGGACGTTGCTCGGGCCCCCGTTATGGTATGAAATTAAATTGTGTGGCCTGTTTTTAAGTATTATAAGTATTATAATTATAAATTATAGCTTCCTTCAGATATATTTGAGTTTTGCGCACAAAATACTCATTTTGAATTTCGATTGACAATGGGCAGCTTTACTAATAATTGGCGCTAATAATGAGGAATGAATGCCAGATTCATTTTCGTAAAAGCGTTATTTTTTGAGTAAAAGCGCTATTTCTTTACGACACCAACGCTTTGATATCACTGTTTGCTTTGTAAACAATTTATTTGCTTGTTTGTATAAACTGTGCTTGTGCATGAGTGTGTGTCTGTACATTAATTTAAATAAAAATTTCCCAAAACAATAAAAACATTATTACCCAATTGAAACGAAAAGTTTAATTTAAAAAAAGATGCTGCAATCCATGAATTGCATACGAACTGGCCAATTGTTATTAGATGAAAATTTGCAATCATTTGTCCTCTGCAGTAATTGTCACACGGATTTTTTTAGTCTTCAGGAATTTCATGCGCATTTGGAAAAATGTGATGGATATGATAAGTTCCTAAAACCTGAATTAAAAATCAAATATGACTTCAGTAAATGCACCCAGTTGGTAGGTAAATCAGGCCAAACAATAAAAGAGGTATGCTTTTTTTGTTGTTAATTATGAAAGTATTGATTTTTAACTGATTCCCTGTTTCTTAGTACTCGATATATGACTTTCAAGATGTGGAACTTATATTGCCAAAATCCTCAATTAAAGAAGAGTCCTTTATGGATATAATAAATATAGAGGAAGAATTATTAGATCCTCGTTGGTATACAGATTTAAGTAATGATGTGAGCACAAGTAAAAAGCCGCAAACAAATAAGAAAAACCTACAGTACGATGAGCTGGTGGAAGCGGTAACGCCGTTCGTTCAATTTAAGGAAAATCTTAAATCAAATAATCACAGCAGCGCTCAAATAAATAAATTAACCAAAGCGAGCTCAGATAGCAAAAATCAGATTCAGCAGATATCCAATGGAAATGAAAAATTCATTATACACACAGTCAAACCAGGCGTAAAGAGAAAATTGGTTTTAAGCAACGAACCTATGAAACATCCCTCAACAACAACGGAAACAATATCACCACAAAATTACAGTGTGCAAATTAAAAAAGAACTATTTAGGAGTCCGACAAAGCGTCGGAAAATAGACCCTGTCGCTCAATCCGCTGTCGTTCCGACCGCAGAAAAAGAAGTTAAACTACAAACTCCTTTTGTAAAGACATCAAATGCAAATGGAAATGTAGTGGTAAGAGAAAAGCAAACAGCGCAGATCTTAAATAAATTGCAAACATTGGGCCTTCAAATCAAACGCACCCAATCGAATAATGTTATAAAAGGCTCTAAAGCAGATAGTAAAACATTGGAATTGCTGCAAAAACTGCAATCCAAAGGAATGAAAGTAAAAATTCTTAGGCAAACACCGACCAATGCAAAAACTTCAGCAACGGCGACCAATTATTCGATAAACAGGCCCATCACTAAGACTGCCATACTGCCGAATACTTCAGCACGAACAATAGTGGCCAGTACAGCAGCAACAAGCATCTTGCCTCTAAATAAGGATTTAATAATCAAAAAGGTTAATTAGTAATTGTGCCATTTTTATTTAAAATAGCCATTTTGTAAATTTAATTATTATTGAAATATATTTTGCATTTTTGTTTTGTATAGTTTAATACTTAAGCAGTTCATTATTTAAAAAAAAAAGGAAAAAAATGAATAAAAATGTGAATCTTTGTGTATTTCAAATACTTTTTTATATTTATAGAAATGGCAACCCTTAAAACAGCCGTTTCTTTTCCTTATTTATCTCCTCCGCCCCTCATTCATAATTTTCGAGCTAAAAATCTGACATTTATATTTTACAATTTGTGCGTGAGCAGGTGTGTGCGTAAACATTTTCTTGGTATTATTCGAAAAAGGAAATTTCGTGTTTTTTGTTAGGCTCTTTCGAAAAATAATTATTAATTTTTCGAATTTTAAGGACTCGTACATTTTGTGAGCATAAATTAAAAGAGATCCACGTACAATAATAAGAATTGGTTGATTGGTTTTTACAGGTATTTGCATCAGCATTATGGAATTCGTTGTCATTCAGACAATGATTACTACTTAAAAGAAAAAATTATATAACTTGTGTTGCTTAGGTCAAGCGCTATTTTTATAAAAAAAAAAAAAATACGTACGCTATTGATTAGTAGTTTTTGCAAATCTTCGAACCGGCTTATTGACTGGCCGAATTCTGGTTGCGAAATATTAGTGAAAGTGTTCTGCTATATACAAAGTCTTCTGGCAGACAAGCGTGAAAATAGAAAAAAGAATGTGTGTGCGTGTTTAGTGTCCTCAATTCTGCTGTAAACGCTTGAAATTAATTTATAAATGTGATGTCATTGCCGAGTCTATGTGTAACTTATTAATAAAAGTTTTAGCGTTAAATTTGATACAGATTTATTCTGTAAATAAATTAAGCAAATGTGTGTTTTTGGCCAAACATTTATTTTCCTATAATCCGGCAGTGTCTGCTTGTATGTGTATGTAATCCACTTGAGCCAGTTAAGTGTGGCTAAAAGGATAAAGTGCAAGAGTCATGTTAAACTGTTCATTACAGTGGGGAAAAAAGGCGGAAGCTACTTGGACTGGATTATACTAGTTGCATCCAGCGCGCAAACCTAGTAAGGTTAACTTTTATCAATTAACAAAGTGCACGGTAGCATTGAGGCTTTGCACAAAGTGCATACAAATTAAACAAGTCGCGAATCATGAGTACGTTTTGTAAAGTTTTACTAAAAGTAAAAAATTCCAACCAAAAAAACAGCAACATTGTCTAAACCGGTAGTTAAGTAACGTTGAATTATATATAAATACAGACAGTAACAAATTCAATTGCTTTGCTTTCATAAATTTGTCAAACCAAAAAAAAAAATCTATTTTTCATTAAGTTGGTTTCTTGTGATCTGCATCTGCCTGCAGGGCAAGTACTTCGAAATAATGATCAAAAAAAGCTATTGGAAAGCGGTTGGAAAACATTGAATATGAAAATGGTTTTGCTTTCGTAAGCTTTACTAACACTTTGTCTTTTACAACCCGATCTTTTTCAACGTCCGAAATCGAGTATTGGATTCACAAATGCATCTCATAAAGAGATAAACCGTCAATTAGACGTCAAATCAATTTCTTCTATGCGAAATTAGATGCAAGCGAGTGCCTATGAAATAAGTATGTATGATTTGAGTATGAGCCTGGTAAGAAGAGTAACCGATCATCCCAACTTGATGTGTTACTTTTCAGTTTGCAAAAATCCGTTATTTATTGTGCTCGTCGGAAAGGAGTTAAAGAAAGTTTAAAATTCGTTAAAAGAAGTTATATAAGGTCTATCGAATATGTCAATTACTTGCGGTTTTCGATGCAATCCACAACGATTTAGAAAAATGTTAAATTTTGTACGAAATATACATTTTGTATGAAAAGTGACGGCAACATCTAGCGAGCCCTGAGAGATATTCAGGTGATGCTTACTTTAAGTCGTTAACAAAGCGTATTTGACCGTTTGAATAAGCAAGATGTAGTCTTGTTTTTTTTTTCTATTACATTCCTCGGTGCTTATTAAAAAATCGTACACGCAGTATGTTTATATGAGTTCGATATAACTAAGTAGTGATGCCGTTTAGATTTCGTACTGGTGTTATATAGCAATTCTAATATAATCTTTCGATTTTGAGGCAAAGATCTAGTGATATAGAAAGTTTTGATTGAAGTTTAATGGAACTTTTTGTTACTTCGTTCGTAGTGCTTAGAGTTGCAGCATAATAACTATCGAATACAGTAAGGGTTATTTTTATTAAGGACTCCCCTTCGAGCTTGTCAACCACACAATATTTTCTCCCTATTCTATATCGTGGAAACGTTATGAAGTCTTGTCTGAACTCCTTTTCATAAATTTGAATAGTTCGCTGAAGTGATTACAAAGGTTAAAGGTGCTGTGTTTGGAAGGGACTTTCGCTGAAAAAAAAAAAACGTAGACAATCGATTGCTATTTCAGGATCAATGATAAATTATGTTATGTAAGAGAAATTGAGGGAACGTGAAAGCATAACCTCAAAATAAGTAAACGAAAGGATATGTGAAGAGGATATATGAAAAACTTCTTTCATTCATCAGGACATCCGGTAAACTATATACATATAAAAGTACTGCAATCGTAATATGATGTTATACGTGCGAAAATTGTCGCTATAAAATCACCCTATCAGTAATGATGTTTTCAAACATGTGAATCGATTTAATTTTGAATTTATTTTTAATTTTATTTCACTTTATGATCATAATAAGTGTGTTTTAATTAAATAGTAATCCATGCACTTGATACATCATGATTTTAGTTTCTTTCAATACAATTTTTTGTTTTATAGCCTTTTGCGTGCTTTAGTAGATCGCTTTTACAATCTAATCAAAACATAAAAGTTCTAATCCAGTATATATATATATAGATATATATATATATATATATTTTTTTTTTTTTATATAAGATGTTTTTTATTTTTCTTTTTTTAAAAAGGAATTTAAACTTAAAGCTTTTAAGCTCTCTTACACACGTGTTATGCAATATAATACATATATATACGTACATCATTATTAATAATTATCAATAAATTTTCTTTTACAATAATTTATCACATAAAAGTAATGTAGTTTAATGAGAAAATATGGGGAGAAATGAAGACTATAAAAAATATTTGATAAATAATAATTATTACGGAAGTAGTATTACTTAATGAGGGTGCTTATGCTTAGAGCGTTATGCGCCTATGCATGAGTGTTTGAACTTTGAAAAAATGTTTATAATTGATCTTTGATGCTCTGTGTTTAAGTTCGCTTTTTCATCTTAAAACTATATGAGATTTTTTGAGGGGCTCTTCTCTTTTGTAGTATACGATTTACAAAAACCAGCTTTGATTTCATGTTTTCCTAAAGCCCCATTTTCATTAAAAATTATTATTTCTACTTAATTTTGTGAGTGAGTTCCCTTTATTATCAATTTAAATTTTTTTTCTTTGTGTTTTTGATATTGTTTTTGTTCTAGTTTGTATTCAATTTAAAGAACGACGTCGTTGTTTACCGCCAATTCTTTGTTGATCTAAAATTTCGTTGGATAAGCGCGCCAGCAATGGCAACTCTCGCATGGAAACGTTAACCGTTGGCAAGGGTTCTATTTTTTGTAACTTTTTCAAAGGTTGCTGCTCTAAATGCTCGGGAGTAATGGGTAGACTATTATTAATCGTATTAACTTTATTGTTAGCCTCCGCTCCCAATGAATCCGGTCTTACGGAAGAGACTCTACATTTATTTTGCTTTAATTGTTGCTGTTGTTTGGCACATTCTTTTAACAACAGCAAATGATCCAATTTATCTACGGTAGCATTTAATTCGTGTTCCCATACATCGTTTTGTTCTTGCTGACCATCGCCGCCCTCTATAGGACGTACAGCCAAGAATTTCACTTTTTGCCTTAAAGCTTCTAAGTCTTTTTCGTCGACAATAGCTGATGATAGTTCAGCGCCTTCCGCATAGTCGTTGGTTTGCTCTTCCAGTAAATATTCCGGAGATTCATGGCAACGCTGCGATTTTATAATGACGACATCGTCCTCATCATTTTCGGAATCTTCATTATTTGTTAAAACAGCTAAGGGGGCATTTTTGTGTGTTTGAACATTACAACTGCTGGAGCAGGAGGCAATCTCGCTGGACTTTTGCGAATGACCGCTAATTGATATTTGACTGCTGGTTACGGAAGGATAACCACATTTTTCCAATTCCATTTGAAAGTCGGGCAAGGATGGCATGTCTGTGATTGTGGGTGAATTCAGTTCGGCGCCTACACCGGGCTCCCGAGGTCCAGGCGGAGGAGTATTTAGCAATTGAGGATAATCACCGCGCTGACGATGAATGTCGTCACTAATACGTTCGAGATTACGCAACGCAGTCGCATAGGTTTGCTTAGCCACTTGCACTTGTTGTTGCAGTTCTTCTATTCGATTCTTTTGTGTCTGCAGTTGATCTTGACAGATTTGTTTCTCTTCAAAGTATGGACGTGATTTGTTAATACTGCGTCGAAAACGTTCCTCTAACTGTTGTACTTTTTGTTCAGCTGCATGAAATATAAGAGTGCGACGTTGATGTTCAGCATGATATTCCGTTTTCTGTTTTTCTGCATCCATAACCTTTTGAGTGGCATGATTTAACATTTCTTGCCAGGCATTATCGAATTGCCATTCATGTGAATTGGACATAAAACGTTGCTCGGCTACAGTGACCATTTCTTTTGCAGCCGCATGAATTCCTTAACAAATGAAAGAGGTTTCCTTGTTATGTTTAGAGTTTAATTAACTATTTGACATTACCATTGGCCGTTCGGAATTTTACGGCCGCCTTTTGACATTCTATCTGAGCCGCTCTGGCTTTCTCCAGCGCTTCATAATAGGGTCGCGCCTTTTCTATGCAACTGCCCAATTTCTTAGAAGATAATTTTAAACGTCTAGTGGACTCGTTTAATAGAATACGAAACGTAGAATTTGCTTCCTGCGAAGAACGAAAAAAAAAAAGAAAAAAATTGATATGAAATTCATCATATTGCTTCTCTTAAACATAATTAGAAGAAGAGCTGTAATTTACCTCTAACTCAATTTCCAATTTATTGATTTCATCGGTTGCACTATTGAGATTTTCTAATTCGATCTGCAAAAAAGAAATATTAAATTAACGATATATTAACATTTCTGCCTTTTTGTATTACAGTTGGCCTTTGAGGATAAAAACGGTAAAAATTTTGTTGTGTAAAGTAAATAGGAAATGGCGGCCGCCAAACCACCAACTACTCGAAATAGAGAACAGCCTAAATTTGATTTAACTAAAATATCGGTAAGTTAAAAAAAATATTCGAAGGACAAAACTGCTTGGGCATTGACTGATTTTTTATTTCGACTTGGTTTAGGCGAGAGTAGATCGTGTCAATGTTAGCGGTTTGTTACGTACGCACAATGATTATGTTATGAAGGCCGCTCAAGGCCTGTTTAAAGCACGTAACTTCGAGGAGGTTATGCTTGAATCAATGCAGTAAATATTATGGAAATTTTTCCTTTATTTTGAAATCTTTTTTATATTCATGATTCGTGTGTTAACGTTTTTTCATTTTTTTTTTTGCAAATTTAGTGCTAAATCCTATTTACATGAATTGGGTATATTTAAAGATGTTAGCGTCCACATTGATGTTAGCCGTGGCGATACCGCCTCACCGGATGGTTATGAGGTTACTTTCAAAGGCAAAGAATTGCCGCGTATTCTTGGTTCCGTGGGTACAGAAATTGGACAAAATGAGGGTTCATTACGCACCGAGTTAACAGTACCTAATTTGCTTGGCCGCGGTGAAAGTATATCCTTGCAAGGCTCTTACAGTACTAAACGGGCTAATGATGTGCAATTAAAATTTTGGAAATCGTATTTTCATACAAGATTCATGAAGAATAGACCAGAGTAAGCGGTATTTTATTGATTAAATCTATAAAACTTTTAAACTGTTTGTTCTCGTTCCAAATATACATATTTATATTTTTTCCCCCCAAGATTATCCTTTTCCATATTTCGTCGTTTGGATCGCGTCGATATTAGCCATTTCCAAAATACTAATACGGGTCTGTTGACAGAACTTGCCGTTAATACCGATTATCCTATACCAGTAAGTAAAGTTTTTAACTTTAATTTTTACTAAAATATTCATCATTATCATTATCCCTTTTTTTATATTATAGTTAAGTCATTCGGTGCAGTACGAAACCTCTATACGTGAATTATCTTTATTAGGCAGAACTGTTCCTATGGCCATACGTCAACAATGTGGTCCCAAGTTAGCGTCTTTAGCCCGTTATTCCTTGATTTTCGATCAACGTGATAATCCAGTTTTTCCTTCTAATGGTATTATGCTAAAAGCAATTAATGAATATTGCGGCTTGGGCGGCAACATTGCGTATATAAGCTCATGTGTTCATGGCGAAGTTAGTGTACCTTTGTTTAGCGGTATAGTGGCCCAAGTATGCGGGCGAGTAGGCGTAGTTAAGGAAACTAAAAAAACTGATTATTTACCTTTAAGTAATCTGTACTTGTGCGGCGGCCCATTAACATTAAGAGGATTTAAATACGGCGGCGCTGGACCTGTTGTTGATGGTACTCCAATAGGAGCTGAGGTAAGTGCGGACCTTATATGCCAATTTACAGTTCTTTTTTAATTTAAAAACATCGTTTCAAATCAAATCACGTCTTCCACATAAATTTGATATAAAAAGGAATTAGCATAAATAAACACTTTGAAGAACGTTAAAAATATCGGTGTGCTGCGAAAATGCACAAACATTTTTCTTAATCTAGTTACAATATCCGAAATCGAATCTGATATATTTTAAAAAGGTAGTCAGCGTATCACATTATATACAGGGGGAATGCTGCAACAGTCGCGATGGTAGAGGTGAAAATTTTATTATATTAAATCTATGTGAAATTAAATAAACATGAATTTCTATATGGCATTCGCATCAGCGGACTTGTTATGTAAGGAAAATATATTCGAGAATATATGGAATATCCAGAAATAATGAAAATGTTTTACGTTTTTTGGGAGAATGTTTAATCTACGTATATTTGATAGATTTTCAAATTATCTATTTTCGAAATTCTACATTAGTATGCAAGTGATAAAGATGTAAATAAAGAAGTAATATTTTTTCTGATTAGAGTTCGAAAGATACGACTTCATTATCTAGCACAAAATTGATGTGTTTTCTCTTCTAGTTTGCAAAAATCAGGATATCTGCCTTTTCTGACAATGTTATTAAGCAAGGTAGCAGGTTCGAAACCCGGTGAAGATTTTACTTTTATTTATTTATTTACTTTTTTTTATAAATACTTTTAAGTTTCTAGTACCTCTTTCATGGAGGGTTAGTCCATGTGAATCTTCGAAAAGAGTTTGTTTTAACTTTTTTGAGTAAATGTAAAGTTAACACATAACGCTTTAAGATGCTTTTTTAGTTCAAATGAATCTTTCGAGCAAAAAGGGTAGCATAATTCGCTTTCAAACAGAAGTGATCTTGTATAATCTTGAAATGTTTCAAATATATAATGAAATATTTTATTTTCCCAAAACATAAGCAATTGGTTATTACAATATTTTTGTTGTAAATTTTAACTACAGGCCAATTTCACTTTTTTTATTTACTTTCTAAAAATAAAAAAAACAACTCTTTAGACATACTGGTCGACTGGTTTTCATTATGGGCACCGTTACCTTATCGCCAAGTGTTTAAAAGTTTCGCAAATAATTTCCGTACTCATGTGTTCTACAATGCTGGTAATTTCAATACATTCTCGGTTGGTAAGTAACATGAATTAAAAAACGAACATTTCCTTAAATAAACAGTTTGCATTTTGTAGATCATATGCGAACGTCGGTTGGCGTTGGTTTGGCATTTAAATTAGCGGAACGTGCGCGTATAGAATTAAATTATTGTATACCATTACGCACATGTCCAAGCGATAAGTTGAATAATGGGTTTCAATTCGGAATTGGTTATGAATTTGTTTAAGCTTAAAAGAAAAAAAAAACAAAAAAAAAGAAAAGGAAAATTCTTCAACAATCCATTCTAGAACAGCTATTATCAATAGCTCGAAATATTTTGTTAAATTTGTAAAATATGGCATAATTAAAAAAAAAAGAACGGAGAATACACCGAATATTTATTTTTAATTAGTAATGCCCGAAGAAATTTACAAGTTTCTTTCTTGTCAAATATCCAAAATTGTTCGAATATTTGCTATCTATTTTCTGTCTTGTAACTGTCGCCGTCACAATTATTTAATTATTAGCTGATTGGTTCAGTTGGGAGAAATAAATATTTTTTCTTAAGTTTCATTTATTTTAAGAAGTTCGATGTATAAAAACTCCTAAAGGATCAATAAATAAAGAAAATTAAAAATGAATGAAATTCTTTCCAACCATTTATAAAATTGTGACAAAATATTATTCGCTCTGTAGTGTGTTTTTTGAAAATTCATCATCTAAAAGTTTCTACAAAATATTGCTTTGACTAAGACCGAACAATTTCTCCATATTGGGCTTTTAGTCTATATATAAGACTTTGCATCGATATCTGTCATATATACACGACAGTAGTGTCTTGATAATTTCGCTTCCATGGATCTATTTTCCAATTTCCTGCGGAGCTATCAGAATTTTCGTGAATTTTGCTGATGAAAATCTCCACCACCAACACTTCAGCCAGCTACGTTAATTCTTAAACTATATAGCGACTGTTTTGCATGCTAATGTGTTTAGGCGCATGAAAACAAGCCATTATATGCATGTATCTGGAGACCATTCAATTTATATCTATTTTAATAATAAAAAAAATCTCAAAAGTCAAAAGAAGTGTAGCGCAACAAGTGAAGGAGACTTAAACGTAAATAGAAAATTAATTATGTTGTACATAAAAGGTATTCCAAGACTTCCCTTAGAAAGAGGAAAATCAGTTTTATAAGTTTTATATATATTTCAACAATAATCAACAAAGTTCAGTCGTGATTTAAGTCAGTAAATTATTTTGTAACTATTTTGCAACATACATCAGGTTTTAATAAAACGTTTGCAATGAATAAAAACTTGCTTACTAATACACTGTAAGCAAAAAAAAAAAAACTTGCAAGTCTGTGTCATATTTCCCTTTATAAATAAATGTCTTTAGCGTTTCAAGAAGTTGCATTAAAGTTTGTTTGCGAAATGAAGTGAGATGAGACTTGTTGTTGTATCTACATCGATAAAAAACCGACCGGTCGAGCGAATATCACGCACATGATGAGCCTGAAGGGAAGACTGAATAATTCGTGCCAAAGTCAAAAATCAAGACGACATTAACAATTTGCTACGATTATCCGAGGTGTTCTGTGCTCTGGATTGCTTCCGCCGGGCCAAATTGCTAACAGGGAATATTGTTTGAGTTCGAAGGCGGTAAAATAGATTTAAAAAAACTCAAATTTACTTTTTGGCGGCCATTATTATAAAAAAAAGTTTAATTTAGGACTGTTCGATTTCAAGAGACTCAAGTTTAGTGAGGCTTCTGCATATTTGAGCATTTTTCAAAGCCCCGCGGAGTTAATCATGATTTCTATAGCCCCGGAGTTAAGAAGAAATAGCTTCTTATAAATTTAGCCAATTTCTAACATAAGACATATGGGGCATTGCGAAGAAAATGCAGGAAGGCGATTACACCGGCTGCAGCACGCGTGCGTGCGCGAATTTACTTGCGCGGCCTTTTTTCTCCTCAAAATTCAACATTTCCCTCCTTTTCCTTTTTAAAAAACTTTATACGTAAACAAACACAAAGCTTGAGATTTGAACCCCTGCTGCTAGCTAAGTTAATAAATTCAGGCACGCAAACCTATACCAGCCGTTAGCTCGCACGTCCAACCTACCAGTTGGTTTGCCATAAACAAAGTTTCCTCTTAAAGTGTGATTTATGGAAATCTTCTTTGATTCTTTCATGACAGTATGAACAATTGATATGCACAATTAGTTTTTACATTGTGAATATGTACATATATATATATACATACATATAAAGGCCGATAGCCGAGGACGCTAGTGGTTTAGGAATTTAGTCCTTGAATTTATTTCTCTGCCTTAATAATAATAATATTGACAAAACTAGACAGTTTAAACAATGTTGAATTTTTAAGAGATTAAAATATACATGATTATTCAACTCATACTTGTTTGTAGCGCTAGCCCTTAAGGATTTGTGTGGCACTGTAGACAGCACCACGCTTTGAAGTTCATTCAATTCCACCCATTAAAGATAAGGTTGATTACATTTGCTCAGGTTCCTCTGTCCATTGAATTATTATTCTTATCCACATGCTTTGAGCACTTTACACACACAATTGTGTCCATAATTATGAAAATCATCTAAGTCAAAATTAAAAAAAAAAATGAGAAAGAAATTATATGAACATGGCTTTGAAATGTCGGCAGGCCCTCCTTGACGCGTTCCTGAACTACACAATGAGCCGGCAAATGACAATTAAACAATAACAGAAACGACAGCACATTCCAGTCTACCTAATAATGTACGGACTTCACTTAATTTTATTTTGAAATTATAACAATTCAGTTGGACTCTTCCCAACTGATTATTGGCGCCCCAGTAACAAAAGAAAAACATAATGATATCATGTGCGTATTATCATACATCCTTGCAGTTTTCCAAGTACATTTTAGGAATCTTAAAAATACGTAATGATAAAAGCCCAAAATGATAGAAATGGATGGATCCTTTTTAAAAATAATTAATAAATGTTTATGAATTATTTTACTAAAATTATTTTTTCTAATTTACAGGACGTTCAGCTAATTTTGAAACTGGTCCAAGTCAATTCGAACTTTAAAAATAAGAAATTTATACGAAATTCGCACAAAATTGCACATTCGTCGTAAAATTCCATTAATGAAGACGAATGAAATTCCAAATTAAAATGTTGCATAATGTAGAAATATTTCTAGATTTATTCAAATGAAATTCATTAACTATTTCGAAGCAAGAAATGTATGACTTACACCACTTTCATTATTTTGGGCACAATTATCCTTTCGCCTACATAAGGTGACATATTTTTGAGTATTAGTGTAATATTGCTCTATAGATTGTCATCTTGTTATGTTTATCATTGATTTGTAGTGCACCACATGCACAACACATTCTTAATCAGATTTTGGTTTTTTTTTTTTGAAACGCGAAAAGTAAAAATTTGAAATAAATTTTTTTTGGTGTATACGAGAAAATCCCACCTAAACTGAATATTAATTTTACTCATATGTCAAGAGTAATTTATAAAACTTTGGAGGAATTTTCATTTAAAAATTATTTTTCTCACAATCTTTTACGTAATTATGATGACGGTATATATTTTTATTTTTAATCACATAACTAAGGCATTCAATCATCGAGCGTAGATATTACAACATTAACGTATTGTACAATAATGTAGAAGACAAGATCTTATAAAACAATTGCAATAATACACGACACCAAAATTCGCAAAGAAATATTAATCGCATAATTGTGTATATGTGACTGAATAATAATGGAAAAAAAAAAAAAAATGCAAATTATGTTTTGTTACTGCCTTTCCTTATATATACGCTTTCATAAAAAATGACACGTCATGTTAGATGAGAGAGATATGTGAGATGAATATATTTTATTTAAAAAATAATATTTATTTATAATCATAAGGAAGGTAAAGATAATTACTTGCGTAACTATTTGATTATGCTACTCTTTATCCATTTTCCTTTATTATATATTATATTTATCATTTATTTTTAAATACAAAGCAGGAGCATCACGGAATTTAAAAGTGGTTTTAGAGTAATATACAAAAGCAATAGTAGTGGAGTAGAAGCAAAAGCTTGAAAGAGGCTCAGTTCAAGTATATCAGATCGACAGTACAACAGATGTATACATAAAAACTTAAAAATTACGCAATATTTTGCATTTAAAAGTGAAAATTTTTACAGAAATTAATTCAAGCTATCAATAGTCGGTAAAACCGACACAATTTTTGCTGACAGCTTCGATTCCTTTTGGCCTAAGTGATGTTAATTTATGGCAAGTTCCTACTGGGATATCATACTATACTCGTTGAATAGTTTCCCTGAGTTCTTTTCTTTTTGGTACAGGAAACTTGGCCTCAAACCGCTTCTGAATGAGGTCAGGAGATTGATTTGACTATTCAATGGTATCCAAGCTACGCTTTCGGAAACACACTTTCACCTTCTGCTGCTTCAATTTCCACACAAATAGCATACAGTGACATTACAGTTTCCAGCAAGATTTTAAGTAAAAATCTATTCATAGTGATTTCTACAAGATGTATCAGGCCGACCTCTTTCCAAGAAAATTCTCCCCATATGATAAGATATCCTGTAAATCTAGCGTGAAATTTTTTTTCCTTTTGACCAACGTACATTTCGTACCGTGTCATTACCAAACAAATTGACTCTTTCTTTCGTCACTCCGAAGGATACATCTTTCCTTCGCCTTTCGGTCTGCATCGATTTTCAAGGGCTATAGTTTTTCCCTTTTCCAAGTTAACTTTCCTGAGGAAAGGACCCGTCTGAACCACCATTCCTAGCACCATACCATTGGTGCGTAATAATCGTCGACGAATAGTTCGGGATAAGACAATGTTCCCAATTTCATTGAAAATCACTCTAGACGACTTCAAACAATGTCGCTTTGCTAAAATTACCATGCGGAGCCCGAGTCCCGCATACCCTACTCTCCAAGTTCTTCTATTTGATGCCCATGTCGCTGGTATTATTAAAAATTGATCGCGGTGTCTAGCATATTCATTTTAGAATTAACCCATTTCCAGGCAGATAATATTTCTTCATTCGAGGAATGTACAAAATAGTTTTAAATATTCTGTCTTTTTTGTGTTATGATAAATAAGCTTAAAAGGTCAGAAAAGTGAAAAAAATAAAATTTAATCACTACGAGGAGTTGCGTTCACTGCGGACTTGACCCATTTTCAATACCAAATTGCGTGCAAGAACTTCCAAATTTCAAGTCGTTACGTTCATTTTTGCGACCAAGAGAGTGCCAATAACAACCACCACACAAGGAGACAGATGGACAGACATGGCTAAATCAAATCAGAATATCACGTCGATCAAGAATATATATACTTTATAGCGTGTCCGAAGCTTCCTTCTGCCTGTTACATACATTATGCAAAGAAATAAAGTGGGTGTACCCTCATCTTACAGTGGTGGGTATGAAAAGAATGCACGTATTTCGCCGTCCAGGTGAAAAAGATACTAAAGCAACATGAAAATGGTCAAGTTTTTTATTGCGAGGACTAGCTCGTGTAGGATTCCTGAAATTAATTTTGAATAGTGTTGCGGCAACTAAAAATGTTGCATGGGTTTTGTCGAAGGTACCTTTCACAATTTTTGTGGTACAAAACTGAAAAATACACCTCGCACCTCTTTTTCCGTCGGTAACACGGAATTGTAAACGTAGGTACATGAAGTTGAACCTATGCACATATAAACTGTCTATTTTCTCAGAGTCCTTTAAAAGGTTTTTAAGTAGACATTTTTACTGTGTACTTAGACTTTACACACATTCGTGTTTCCTGATTATTTGCAGCATCCACAAAGATTTAAGACAAGTCAATCTTTCATTATACGAAGCGAATTGGAACCGTTTTGCGAATTCATTTAAGCATGTCTGTCGGTCGGTTTTGTCTGATGTCTGTGTATGCATTTTTGTGTTCAAACTTTAGGACGTGAATTTATTAGGATGTGAATGTTTTCCGCACACAAACCTATTGAATTTACTTTTGTGTTTGCTTAAGACGATCATTGTCAACGATACGTTTTTAAACTTTATTCGGATTGATTACATTTGACCTTTTAGATAATCGGGTAAAGACCGAGAAATAAAATACAACGCACTCTGCATAAAATAAAACCTTTAACCAGCATTCCATCAAACCAAACTATCGTAAAACTTGATTTGACTTTAACGTAGAACTTGTTTTACGTGAATATATTTTCTTATAAGTTTCGCTATTAACCTTTCAATGGCCAACCAATGCATGTTAACTAAACTCTACATGCCGTAAGAAAACATTTATGTGATAAAAAGACTTTTGTTTAGACACAAGAAAGTATAACTGCTTCAGTTTAGTTTGTCAAGCCACGCTTGGTTTAAAGAAAGAAAAAAAAAAAATTAAATAAGAAAAGAAAAAACTACATGACGCCAAGTCGTTACACACAACATCAATGAGGGAGCATTTCTAAACATGAAACAGGTTTTAATTGCGTTTGTTGACTTTTGCTTATAACAGAGTTTAGAGAGTAGATTGAGAAAAGAAAATAAAAAAAACAAAAAAGCAAAGAAGGGAACATGTAGGTATATATTTAAACTAAAACGACGTCCGACATATAGTAGAAAGGATAGTAGATAGAGAGGGATAGTATGATCGTCTGTCGCTTGATATGTACGCATAGTACAAGCTTACACATATACATGTATCGCAAAATCATAAGGTGTATAAAGTTACGTTTATGGTCAAGAGTTTATGGTCAATAACACGACTCGGAATGATGGCGTTGGTGGTTGTGTTGCACGGTTCTGAACTTTTTTAACAAAAGCTTTTCTTACTGCTAAACGCAAGCATTTGTAAATTGAAAACAAGTTTCAGTATTAGCGGCGCAACATATTTTAACCCTAACGACTGAGAACAAGTTTGCCGCAAGGAATCGCATAAACATCCACCGAGCGCTCAGAACTTGCCTGACATGTGCAAACCTATTATTGTCAAACGTATTGCCCGCAGATAAGCTGTTCCGTATTTTATTTTAGCAGCGAAAGGACTAACGTTCCACATCTATTATAATATATTTAAGATCAATGTAAAAGAAGTTGCGAAGAGCGAGAGAGAGAGAGAGAGAGAGAGAGAGAGAGCTTATCTTTTGATAAATGCATTCGATGTATGTAAAAATGTAGTGAAACCTCAAAGCAAAACGTCTTCAAGGACTTCATTAATAAATACTGGTCGTGAGGGTACGATGGTAAACTAGAGCAAAATCCAAGTTTCCCAAGCAGTCGAACGTCTTTATCTCTACAGAGCGTTGATATAGCTTTCCGAGTACCGTACTGGTGTATTTGGCTGTACGCGTATATCTTCTAGATGAAGGCTTTTGGCGGTTATGTGAGATATTTCACGTTGGACCATATGTTTTCTAGAGCTTTACAAGGTTTGGGCATCAATGAGACGAAGCGGAGTTGCTTGGCGAAAGGCAAGCAACTTTTTTGTAAGAAACTATGGGACGACTATTAAAAGCGGAAATGTCTTCGTGCCCCTCATCTTAAATTATACAGACTGATTTCTTTAACATATGCCTTTAAGTTCAACGTTCGAAAAACTTTCATTTGTGCTCGAGAAGCAAGTTGCGAATGCAGTTTTGATGTGAGATAACAACAGTTTCGGACTCCCTGGCCATTGTATTTTGTTGACGTTTACTTTACTGTGGGGTACATCTCGTATAAACGTAGATATTCAGTGATCGTGCAAAACCTTTAATGACTTTTAACTTGTTTTTCTTGGAATTCTTAATGAGCAAGAGGAAAACATGTTTTTGATTGGTATTTCGAGAAAATATGATTTCAAATTAGTTTATTGTATTTCATTTTATCAGATAATGTGTTAAAACTTAAAAATTCACTCGAATATGATTTTACGTTAGTTCGCATTTTTCTTTTTCCTTTTTTTTTTCAAGTAGGATTTTTTTTTATTTATTAAGAAAAGAAAATTAGTCAAATCCGGGAAAGATTAGAGTGCAGTGTGGGTGTGAGGAGAGGAATGTCTACGACGGTGCCTGGCGCTTATCGACTGCATACTGCAAAGGTGCAAGGTACGTGTTGCTGCCGTGACTGCGTCTAATATGCTTAAACATCGGCGTAACGAGGGCTATGGCAATGTATAGGCATCCATATCACATGTATTTACACAAATAACGAAGGTTTGACCGCCAATCGAGTCCTTTGATAGAACTACTCGGCTTTCTTTTCCTTCTCACCCACCCGTTCTGATGTTGCCGTTATTTTCCACACAACACTACCAGGACTCCTTGCTTGTTAATCATCTTTTTTGCACCTCTAAATTCCCTTTCAATCGTCTTCCCTCTATCACTACTTATAAACCTTCCTCTTTATGATAAGTCTACATGCGTAGGAGATCACCACCAGGTTGCACATTTGAAAAAAATCATCAAAAAAATTATATTCAGTTGCGACTAAATCTCTTATACCCGTTATAGTTATCCTAAAAATTACAAAAAAAGGGGAAAAAATGTTTTTTCATACTCTATAATGTGGAGTGGGTGCGGGCGATTTTTTCTACTTTCAAAATACAAGTTTCTGTAGTATAGGCGCTTGGCGTTGTAGGCGTATCACTTTCAAATTGTTTTGCACATTTATAGGCGATATTTTTACTTTCACTAGCGGGAGAATGTGTACCACAGATACTACACAGTTGAGCAGATGGACAAACGAACAGAGGAACATATTTAGGTGCATTTCGAATTTGAAACCGGCCAAGAATTTATTTATAGACTTTATGTGGTTTTTCAAGCTGGTTTCTGCGGGAGGCAAAGGCATTGAGAAGGAAAATTAAATTTTGATACACTACTATATAGAGTAGGCGTGATAAATTTTTCCATTTTTGTGAAGGTACTACAGCCTCGCCCATAGAATATGCGTTAAAATTTTTGTACATTTATCTGCTATAGTTTATGGGTAGTGATCAAAACGGAATTTTTTTTTCCTTTTAAAAGTCAAAGGTGTTCTCGCTTTAGTATTGTAGGCGTGGCGTTCAAACGATTTGACTGATTTTCAATGCCAACCTGCGTGCAAGTACTAACAATGCCTCTGCCCAATTTAAAGTCGATAGGTTCGCCTGTGCGGCGAGGGAATGTTTGCAAGAGACATTACACAGAGGGACGCACGAATAGGTGGACATGTTTAAATCGATTCGGAACATATTGTGGAGTCTCTGAAGCTTCCTTTTGGGCGTCGGAAAGGTTTTGACAATACGAATGTATTCCTCATGCCTCGTCAACGGACATTAAACTAGAGGTAATGATAGCATTAAATATCATGTCCGAATGAGTTTTTAAACGTTCAAAAACATGAGAAAAAGGCAAATATAAGCCAAATTAAAGGCGCGATGATGACCTTTAAAAATGAAATAAAATGATGTAATACTTAAATGCTTTTTAACAAAAAAAACAAAAGAAGAAGAAGAGAAATGCACGTATAGAAAAGGAAATCTCGTGCATGCACCTACACATGCAATGCTTAAGATAAACATGTGTATTGCTAAGGTTAAAGTAGGTTAAAAATAAACTTCTAATTTTCTTTTTTCCTGAAGAGTCCTTAGAAACTACTTAAGGACAACGGTTACATTTAATAGCTGCATTTTATAAGAATGACTGTGCATGCTTTTATTTTCGAAAATAATTTATGTTGATTTTTGGAGGTGTCCGTGTAGTACAAAAAAGTATTAAAGGTTATGCAAAAAACAAGGTAAGTAGAAAATAAATTTTTAAGAGAAACTGGGTTACACAAGGCATTAAGTTTAGAAAAACGTGAATAACAAACATTTTTCTAAAAAAATCAATAAGTATTTTGAAAAGTATGTTTAGATCAAGTTAAATATAAAAGAATTGGGTTAACAGCAGTTAACTATTTAACGATTACGACTTCCGGT